AAATATCATAGGTCGTAATCAACCAAACTGTATTGCCTAGGTCGCTTTAGTTTACACAGAACAGGGTGTTGTCATTGAGGGTCCAGTATCAAATATCATAGGTCGTAATCAACCAAACTGTATTGCCTAGGTCGCTTTAGTTTACACAGAACTGAGTGTTGCCATTGAGGATCCAGTATAAAATATCATAGGTTGTAATCAACCAAACTGTATTGCCTAGGTCGCTTTAGTTTACACAGAACAGGGTGTTGTCATTCAGGATCCAGTATAGAACGTTACATGTTTTATAAAATGTTACAAGTTTTAAATGATCAAAGGATATTGCTTTCGTCTTTTTACTCAGAAAAGGGTGTTGTTATTGACAGTTCAGGGTTAAGTATTAATATTGTAAACAAACCAAATGTCATTACTTACGTTAATAGTATCTACGTAGGACGGGTTCGGTCATTGGGGTTCAATGTTGAAGGTAAAAGGTTAAAAACCTTAAAGAGTACTACAATAATCGCAGAACATGGTCTGTTAATGTTTGTAACAAAAACAAAAACAGATTTTTTTCCTTTACTATCTTGTATTCGCCATGAGAATGGCTATAGAGGTCCGATGTTTAAGATAAAAAGTTGAAATCAAACAAAATCCATTGCATATAATCTTGGCACATGTAGTATAAAATGGTATATCTAGTATTAATCAGAATTACTGCAAAGCAGTTATGGACTTTGTATAGCGTTTTATATAAACACATACATGTACATTTGTATCTATACAATAGAAAGGCACCATCATCAGTATTATTGGACATAGTTTAGGTAAATGACCTTAAATTCGTTATGTTTTTGAGATTTTATCTATTATATTTAGTTATTCTTATACATATGCATATATAACTTTTAAATAGTAATGTCTTTTTGTGTATATCTTTTAAATATTAATTTAGTTAGCTTACACATGTTTATGTTCATAACGTTCATAGATACCCCACAAACACATTTCAATATGACTGATTTTATTTCATTCGTATCTTGTAAATAGAAGTAATATCGGTTGAAATATTACTTATTTCTTTTGTCTCAATCATTTACATTTTAGCGATGCTTCGAATTGTTGTAATATTATTGATTAGTTTATGTCCATATCGTTATAATGCCAATGTTAATGTGATGTTTTAACCATTCATAGTTTAAAAATAAAACAAAAACATATTTGAAAGTCAGATGTAGTTGTTTGACTTGTATATGAAGATTACACTAAGGTTAATATAAAATTCAGGAGTTACCTTTCTTGGCCCAGCCTCGTTGCAATATGCATTTGATATAAGAACTCTTCGGGAAAATTTGTGTAAGTACGGTTAACATGAAATCTTTCTTTGTGGAGTATCCTTTGAGATTCTGTTGTTCATGTTAGCACGGTTTTATGAGATTTTATACCTTTTTTGTTTATTTCTTTATTGTCATTTTTTGACTGTGTATTAATTTGGTAACAATGTTTTAGTATTGGATCTCACACTTTTACTGCATATCTGAACAAATGATGTATCATAGGATAAAAGATGAACGTAACACACGAACAGATCATTGGATCTGTAAAACTTTGTAATAGATAAAGTATGCCAAAAATCAATAACACTGCAAGTTGGAGGCACTATAGTCTAGTGGTAGGACGCCGGGATCGTGACCGAAGGGTTGCGGGTTGGAGTCACGGCACGGTTCTGTGTTGTATATTTGAACAAGATACTGTAATCCGCTTGTTCCAGTCTACTCAGTTGTAAATAAGTACGTGGTTGGGCAGCGCTAGAATTGTTGAATGCTAGCCGTGGGCGACGTAATGGCAGCACCGGATGTATTTTCCCCAGGAAGTCGAGAAAGTTATTGGTAGGTTGCAATGGCCCTATAACCACGGATAATAGTTTTTGAACCGCTTTGAGACGACCTAGGAACTAGGTTGTGATAAATTATGATGAATTATTATAATTATTATACTACAGCTGTTTTGTCCATTGATGACTCATTGATGATCCTTGGGGCCAAAAGTTGTAAATCCAATTGATATTAACTATACAGTTGAAACAGTACGTAAAAATGCGTAATTTATCATTATCTTAAGCTGCAATGTAGAACATTAAAGACAGTATAATAATCGATGCTATTTTTAAATTACAGATTCCACTGTATTTCATTTTGTACATACGTTAACAAAAAAATGCTTACTGATTTTTTAGAAACTAATCGTCACTTTCACACAGATGTCGCACATGGATCGGAGTTCTGACGTTAATCGAAGACAGACCGATATAAAAAAGTCGATAAAACCTCAGAATAATTCGGACTACCTCTCGGGTGACACGAAATCAATTTGCATAGAAATTGTTAAAAGGAAAGAAGGAAAAACGCTTATTGTTCATATCTTCCAGTATAATCCATTGTACGCACATGACAAAGATATGTTAATATATGTAGGTGTGGGTAGCTAAACGAATGAATATACATGTATCCTATTTCTGGAAAGCCTATGATTGTAAACAATAGTGAATACATTTATTGTTTTGCTCCCTTCCAAACATTTTCAAGAACGAATGACTTCCTGACACCGTTATGTTAAATTAAATTGTCTACACAGCAAATCATTTACTTTGTGAAATAGTCTCATCAATTTACAAATTGTTATTGTAATTACATTATATGTCTAGCATCATATTTAAGAGGCGTAAATTGTCGCTCTTAAACTTAAAGCTGCCGGAAGTGTCAAACGCGTAGCGATTGGTTGAAGGACATCCTGTCTGGTACCCTTTTTACACTAAGTAGCAACCCATCACCGAGACATGGATTGTAGGCCATTCTGTCTGGTACCCTTTTTAAACGACAAAACAAGGCCTCACCTAAAGCAATAACTATTTTTTACGACGCAACTGGAAATTTCGATAGACACAAATACCTATAAAGCAATAAGGCATGACAACTTTAAAATTAGAAAATGTTTTAACTATTTCGAAATCTACTAATATCATGGTATAAATTTGGCAAAATTGTTCTCTTTTATCAAATTTAAATCTGAACTTGATATTAGACAGGGTATGTAGGCAACATGGTGTAAGACAAGGTATGTAGACTATTCAGACATGACATGACAAAAAAAAAGTCAATAGAACATATTAATGTGTCCATCATCAATACTTGTTTATTTTTTGTAAAGTAAGCAATATTTAATATTCAATTATAGCCTTTGGCTGAAGTCGATACCTGGATTTTTCGACCAGAGAAAAGATATATTGACAGAGAACGATATATATTTTCTCGGGTCGATAAATCCAGGTATCGACCGAAGTCAAAGGCTACAATTGTTTTATTATTTTCGAAACAGTAATGTTAGCAATCTGAAAAAACATCACAGCAAAAATGTACAGAAGCGGGACGATGCGTTCGTTTGGAGACACGTCATTATTCTGTTTTTAGAAACACCCAGTCCTTCAACAAAAACCACGCTCTCTAAGTCAATATCAGTTTTTATCGGTGGACACGTGGTGCACTCCTAGCCAATCGTTTGTCGGGAATGATATGAAAAAAAATAAAGGCTCTTATTACATATCAACTTCATGCAATAAAATATTTATTGCAGATATTAATATTTTTGGAACATATTTTGTTATTAATTACATTTATCTAGGTTTTGTTAAATCTCAAATTTCTTGTAGAATTTCGTATTGTAGTAATAAATAATGATATGCATCACCTCTTCTGATTATTGCTTGATTTTCAAACAAAACTAGAAAAATGAGTGAGTACAAAAATATTTTTTATTGTTATTCTAAAATGTAAAAGAAACGTATTGTTTCAATAATGAATATTTACAATATACAGAAATAATGGTTTCTCCCAACTTCCATACACTGACACACAAAGCAGGATAAATTGGAAACCAGACACGAATTAAGTCAATTGTGGTTCTCAAAAATGTTTAACAAAGCTGCGTAGCCAAGCAACATATATGAACACGACCTTTACAAATTCACTGGTATGTAAAGAGTAATACATTTTTAACCAAGTCGGTTTTTATATATATACCTACAGGTAAGTGTATATGTAATGTCTTACAAACGAGAAATATGTGACCTACAATGAACCAATTTCCTGGTTTCGACCGGAGACACTACGACGGGTACCACTTGTGGTGTAGGAACCATTTCCCGAGCACCTGGTGAAGCCGGTTTGAGAGGATTGTCCTTTGTTTTGGTATCTCCTGGTTCATCCTATCGACCAAGGTTTACTGACGATGTGGTGTAGTGTTAATAATCTTAAGATTAAATTTACGTTTTTGTTATTCATTAAGTTGCAGTATAGATATTATTTCAAAATTGATTTTATTTCTCTATAAATGATTTTCCATCTGTGTCGTATTTAATTTTGCTACAATAGGTACACTTTTTATTTGATGATACTTATACCATAATTCGTAATAATGTCAAACATAAACCACACGTAACGTGATATGTAAACATACAAAATATGTTTCTGTATTTCAATACCTCATCAGTTCGAAGGAGTTATCTCTTAAAACACTCTTTATTTGATGAAATACGGAAAAGGTGAATGTCGTCTGTATTATTGGCAATATTTGGTAAAACTAAGATTCAGATTTACTGTCTTATTCGTTCTGCTACATGTAAGTTCTTGATATACAAAAAACAAACAAGGGCCAACACATTATACCGAAATGTTTGTTTCCACGTTCGTATTCTCATACTGGTTGATATGCCAAATGCACTATTGAATAAGATGAACATTATCTGGGCAAAACAGTCAGATCGTAAACTAAAAACGTCGAGCCGCATGTCTTTTATGTCCGTTATAATCCATGTACATATGGCTCGCTTTATCTCCCATGTGTTTTGGGAAGCCTGGCTCTTTTGCATTCAGTATTACACATGAATCGCTGTATCAAGTAGTGCTGAATCCCTCAAATGGCCTTATAGATCTATACGTTACATCTGATACTGCCTGTATAATAAGTATACTTGTTTGACATTTTCTAAATTAGATATACATATTTGAATTACTTATGAATACCGTGTTATGCAGTGTTATAAAGCCATCCCATAAATCATGTTTATGTAACGTGTGTAATATCACTTCAGAAATGACGTCAAAGTCGAATAGGAACAATCATTGTGACGTCACGTCATTATGAATCGGAAGCAGTTCTTATCCTTTAAGAGGCGGCAAAGTGCAAAATATTCGTTTCAGATCACAAGTATAGAGTTTCCTTTGTATTATATGATAAAAAGAATGTGTCGCTCGTTTCCTTTCATATTAGATTTATGATACAAGTTTTGGATCTTTCATGTTTGTGAACGGAAACGAATGACAGATCCTCTATTTATCTTTTTTTTTATGTCTATCAAATTAATAGTTTCTTAAGGCTAATCATTTTAAGAAACAATTAGTCTATAGTTCTTTTCGGTTTTTATTTATCGATGCAATCATTTCGTTTGTATAACACTTCTTAAAAACAAGAAACTTGTCTTTAGTTAGGATTTGTTCATTATACCATCGTTATATTTGCCCACGTCCAACATGCCCAAAAACCACCTGTCTATAGCTACAATTGGTCCATAATACCAATGTCATACTTTCCCACGTTCAGCCTGCCCAAACGCTGCTTGTCTATAGCAACAAATGGTCCCGAATACCAATGTGATAATTTCAAAAGTCTACAGTTGCAATTTGTCCATATCTACCGATGTGATAATTTCGCACAGTCATTCTACCTAAACAAACGCCTGTCTATAGCTACGATTTGTCGATATCTACCGATGTGATAATTTATCATGTCAAACCTGCCTAAAAACCCGCCTGTCTATAGCTATGATTTGTCGATATCTACCGATGTCATAATTTCCCACAACTAAACTGCCACGGAAACCAATTATCTATAGCTATGAGTTGTTCATATCAATCGACGTAATAATTTCTCGTATCAAATTGCACCACAAATGACAATGTTTGTAGTTAAGCCTCGTTTCTACCTATTCAAGTATTCAGCGCATCTAACCTGCCTTATAAACTACATGTGCTTATATAAGTAATTGTCTGTCTTTCTACACTTTTATAATCCTCTTACTCACGCCTGTCTTAGATATCGCCTGTGAAATTTTCCGAAATAATTTGATATTTGGTTTATTTGTTCTTTTCTATTTTATCATATTTTTGTCGTTAAGTAAGATCCTATTGTTTATACATTCATGAATCTCCAAGCCACCTTCGCACTTAGGTCATATTTAGTCTTACTACATGTCTACTCTAAAACGAACTTTCTTTACTTTTACCTTTGTCAAGTTTAATGTATCTAAGAAGCTTTAATCTATTTCCGCATGTCTTCTCCTACTAGTTCGTTAAATAATGCGTTAAACATGTCTAGAGCTACTTGATCAATCATTTCTTACATTATACCTGCCATAGAGACCACCTTGCAATCGTTACCACCTATCTGTAAGTATTTCTTTAACAACTGTCTAAACGTGATGCCTAAGGGACCACCTATTTTTAACTTCCTTGGAGGCCACCTTTATTTTATTACCACAATATTTTTAATTACCACTTAAATCATTAACCAAATGCGTCTTCCTTCAAATTTATAATCTAGGAAAACCGTTTTACTATCTTCATAAGTGTTTTTCTATCAACAAATTTAATATCATTTGCACATGACACACATTAAGTATTTTAGCTCTAAAGATAAACTTGTTTCTAGTGAATACCGAATGTAGGAGAGTTCAAACTCATGCCCAAAATTATACAAAAATCTGGTTAATTAAAGTGATCAAACCGATTGCAGTTAAATACGGATTATGAGATATTTTAGAATTAAGGTTGCAATAGTGGAATAAACTTGTAAATGTATAACGTATACCGGATATGTAACATTTGCGAGTAATCTTTGATCCTAGAAACAACAATAACTATTCGATGGTACCTATTTTATTTGTATTCTGTGACTTTGATATTTATCGGAATTTTCTGCGCATACCTAACGATATAAGATAGGTAGTCATGGTTACTCTAGAATAACAATTAAACATCGCAAGAGTGTAAGCCGATTGTTTTTCTTTCTAGATCGTGACCGTTGCTTACATTTCTAAGATGAGGGAGCATTGGCAAAATGTGTATGCATAACACGACGGGCATCAACATGTCTATGTAAGTAAATAATGTTTTGATACCTCTATTTACATTGTATGATATAAAATAGATAATATCAAAATAAGCATCTAATTGGCCAAGACCATATAAAACAGATATTCTGATGATAACATTAAAATACTTTTCACATGGTATGAAATAAACTATTACCAAAGCAAGCTTCTAATTAATCAAGACCATTTACAACAGATATTCTGGATGAGACCATATAACATATGAAGGACTGTTTTTGCAACAAATACTAATTTAATAAGTATTGTTTATTTTTTTTTAAATTTTGGATTACATCATGATATGCATATTGAGGACACCCGTTGATCTTTTTTCTTGAATGTCACAAAAATTGTTTTTCGATAATGATAAGTACAAATATACCTCTTGATACTTTTATAACAATGTTCATTTAATAACACAGTTTATGTGTCACTACTACTTAAGTTTAAAGGCAACATTGCTAGTTCATATTTAATTTTTGCAGTAAAACTTCAAATTTACTAAATCTGTCCGTGTAGAAAAGATAGTTGTATAATTATCTAATTGATAGTAAACCTGCACCAGTTTAAGCAGCTTCAATATTTACTAGTTAATATATATTAATAATTTGATGCATTCGTATTTAAAAAGATATTTCAGAAGATACTAATAATCAAGTACCATGTATAGTTTGCGTTTAGTTTCAAAATACTTTAAACAAATAAGTAACATACAAAAATCATTAATGCTAACCAACCGTCATATTTATATAAAATGAACATTTCATGAACATTGACCTCCTTAATAGTAACAGCATCTTAACAATTTGGTTTTCATGGAAAGTTAAATTAACACATATACATTCAATTTAAATATAAGCTTTATCCTCAGCCAGAAAAAGACGTTCTTAGCGGTCTGAACTAACTGAATACCTTACTACAAAAATACCTAAACATCTGTACAAGCTGCTGCATACTTCCATATGACCTGATTTTTGTAAAAAAGAAATACAACTGATCAAGGTTATGTCGGTAGTTATTACTTTCTAGATGTATTTGTAAATATCATTTTGTTTCCGTTTGTTCATTAGAATTGGAAATTTCAGCAGTATCTTCTTATTTTGCTTCTATGTCGAAACCTACTCATCGTTCTTTTGAAAGAATTTGCTCACGAATTGAAATTGGTCATTACTAATCCTACACGGTAGTGCATTGCAGTTAGTCAGATATTTCTTGTACGCAATATCGGATGGATTTATATCAGAAGACCAACACTTTCCTCATATATCATACACCTGAATACTGCACACACATACAATTACATAACATGTGTATGTATGCATGCATACACTCACCCACCTATCCATACGTTCATCATTTAACCTACCTTCATATTACCATTTATCCATCAATCCTTTCATCCATACATCCATTTATCCGTCTCTCCATTCAACCATTCAAAGTGCCATTCAACAAAACAGCCCTTCCTTAAATTTTTTTTTTCTATATTTTCAGAGATAAAAAAAAAATGTCAGATATGAAACATGGTAAATATAGAAATTCCCTTGAAAACTTATTCAGAAAATAAATACAGATAGAAACGTGTTTTATTTTTAACCATGCATGGCTACTTTATAAACACATTCTATTTTGAAAATTATTGAATATCAAATATTTTACCCGATTGATATTCAGCAATGCAAATTTACCTTTCTCTATCAACGACTTTTGTTTTGTTTGTGGTTAATTTTGACTTATTATTTAAACGTAACTCGTTTATGACATATTTATTACATACCGGGAAATCATCTATCAATAAAACAACAAGACGCGTAATAAAAGTATGATATGCGAATCAAAATGAAACATGAGCCCATATTCAACAATTGAAAATCATTTTGTGATTTCAGATGTTTAAGCTTATAAGCTTTTAAATGAAAATGGTATTACTTTTATCATGAAAACCAATTTTGACACAATAAACGATGCATGCATTTTTTAACTATCCACAAATACTTTGATATACAATACCATTACTTATTATGAAGTTGTTTCCAATCATAAGAAAATTATATTTGTCTATTATACAAATACAGAAAAAAAGAAGTTCACTTCTTATTTAAATCAAATGAAAAAAATCCAATTATTAGATAATTATTCATATGCATACATTATTTTCAGTAAATTTAGCCATTAGTTTCATATACAGATAAAGTGTTCAATAAGAGCCCATACAGAAGATAAAATTGTTCTTTGGAATAAATATATCATGTTTACCACATTCATTTTCAGTCAATCATTTCATACAGGTACATATATATTTTATATGAAAATAATGACCATAAAATGGAGGACATATAAGAAACAATTTAGAGTAAAACAAAAACATGATCTAGTCTTCGGCAAACCGAAAGTCATTGAGCGACCTGTGCCAAAGTATATTTCTACATATGAAGTATATATATTTCATTATTCCTTACCGTCATATCCTATAAAAATGATGGAAATTTGGAATGCATGATCACAAATAAATGTTTGGCCTTATTTCCTTTTCAGGATTGCTGGCTTGCTATTTATCCATGCTGATTATTTTTGTTTCCAAATGAATGACAAATAAATATAGTTCCAATATTTTCCCCTTTCAAGCAAAGAGGAACTGTGGCGTGTTTATATGCACAGTAGCATTTTCATGTGTATATTTATAACGTATAGAAATGACCAATAGCATTTCTAGGCGGACATATGACTCCAATAAAAGAATTGCTCCAACTTCTTTTACGCAAAGAGAAGTTGAAAGGACAATTGCCTTCCGTTATCCCAGCTGTTGATCCTACTGTTTTTAGGATCACGAATGTTTGGCACATACGACACCATGCTATTTGCACCGAAAGGATTTCGAAAAATTATGTTTTCACTTAGCGGCATAATTTCATCATCATACAAGTCGTAAGCAAAGTCAATAACTGTCTGAACGTTAACGGTATCTCGGATGAGATACAGAACGCCGCAGGCAATAATACCATTTCCATAACTGCCAGGAGCGATGTTGATTGTCCATGTTCGTATCTCCTCCATTGTATTAGGATTTAACTTAACGATATATATGTTCTTTTCATCTGCGACTTTACTATAAATTACCCATAGACCGTTCTCGTCATACTCTACGTCAAAATATGACTTCCCATTTTTGTAGAGGTATCTGCTGTTATTGTGTGAAGCGCCATCTATTTCCGCTGCACTCGAAACAATGGCTTCTCTGAGGTCGTATTTCACTACGATATTCCTCCCAGCCCATTGAAAGTAAAACGACCCATTGCGAATCACGTGATCGTAACCGTAGTAATGGAAGAAGGAGAGATCGTACGTGTTATCCACTCGGTTCTGTTTAAATGTAGCCTCGGATCGGTACTCATACAGTATTTTAGCATACTTGTTATTCGTAACCCAGCGTTTTGTCGAATCATACTGATCAGTCATCCACGCCCCGGATGTAGGTCCTGCGTGACGCAGAAGCAGGGGAATCCCAACCATTTTTATCCGGCATTCTGAATTGTCAATAGAAATCGTTTACTTGAAACATTGTGAATAAAATTGGGATATATTTTGCTAAGCACATGCCACATTAAAATGTGATCATATAATATAAAACTAAAAAGTCACTTATTCAAAATCTGCTTCTGACACCATAGTTTAGACGACCTATGTCCTAAATAAATTTGAGGAACGCTTGTCCTTCATTCATCTTGAATATAGCAAAAACAAATATTACTGTACCTTGCTTTTGAATATATGCATAAAATCAATCAGTTTTTGCGAACAAATAACATTTATTATATTCTTTCTCCTTTGCAAAACTATAATATATGAAGGAATTACAAGGGAAGGTTATCAATTGAAGTGGTTTATTAATTGAAATGTTAATTGAAAAGGCTTAACTATATAAAATGCATCAGTGATAGATCACTTTATGATGAATAATAAAACATTTATTTTAATAATGACACGATATAAATTGCTAACTAAAGACACACACATACATATAACATGAAAATGAACAAATTACTTGCAGAGAATTTATAGAAAGGTTATCACGATAAAACCAGGTCATATATTGTGGACGTAGGTGAGTATGCAGGAAGTGTTGAAATATTAGGAGGGTGAGTACATGCAAACTAAGTAAGGACAAAACAAGATTTCATCGCACGTTCATATGGTACCTTTCACATACATATAAGCAAAGCAATATTGCATAACATGTAGCTTGTTTCGTTTCTGTCATATAATATTTTTTTGTTTTGTTACAGAGACACTCATTTACAAGATATAAAATAATACAAGGCTTGTTTTTTCAAATTTTGAAATATATAATGGTAAACAATCTCTATTCAAAATATGAATTGTATATTACCATATACTTTTGTTAGTCCTTTAACCGAGAATACGATGCTAAAGTACGATTTTCACATTACGATACACTGTTTTATGTTGTTGTGTATAACTAATACTAGTCAACAATATCCTATTTACCCAGTAACCTTCTGTATTTGTTAGTTACCGAGCCTTCTCAATTTGACGTTACTGCTCTTACACATTAAGAATTTAAAGCTAAAATTGTTACCAGAAGGAATCCCTCAACATCCATATACGTGTACGACCTGACAGAGGCACGTGCCCGATGTGCAGTAGAGGCAAGAACTACTTCAATTACATTTTATTGGCTTCAACCTATATATTGGCATACAATCTTGTAAGGTAATTCCTAAAACAAGCATTGCTGTGTTTTCTAAGCATGTCGCTTGGATTGGTAGCGTTACGGCATTGTTATTTCTTCCGCTACTAGGAACCACATTTCTAAGGGAATAGCCATACAGTTAAAAAAATATTTTTGCATAAAAGACCAAGGACAAACGCGGTAGTTTATCTTTCAAAAGGAGCACAAGAAATGAAATGCAATGGATTGCAAATTACTCGGATTTGTGCTGAGGTTACTATCGGTGTCTGCCGTAGTATGCTCATGACAAGCATACTAACGCTGGATAACGACTGACAGGCAATGCTCAGATTCACGTTCACCCCATTGATTGACTTTCACCTAACATTATCGTGAATTGATTTTACATTTGTTTGTGGTTCATTATACGAATAGCATGGCATGTTTAAATAACCGTGCATATATTTCAATTACACATCCGAAGGGAAATCTTCGCCATGCATATAGTAATCAGATAAAAGAAAATGGAAGCCGAAGGGCTAACAAAAGAAGATGCAAATTCTGAATTACTCTGTTGCTGAACACCAAAGCAAAAGCTTAAAGCTAAGCGAATTTTAGTCTGACAATGACGAGAAAAATATTGTAAAATGTATTGATCCTTTGTATTATTATTTGATTGTATTTCTTGATGGTACTTAAATTGTTATGTTAGATTTATATATATAATAATTGAAAATGCTTCTCCATTACAAGGTCACATTCTAATTCACGCTTGTCGTGTATATTGTTCATGGTAATTCTATATTTATTAAAAATGAGTGTGTACAGGTTCATATGATTTCGAAGAAAAGTAGGAAAACCACAAATATGTGAACACAAAATATCAATATAACCATCAAAGATATTTTTCGTACACTTACTACATGAGAGACAACTTCAACAAAGCCTTATAACCTTACAACCTATAGGGAGACAGCGACATCTTCTGGAAAGCAGTTACTTATAACTTATACCGAGATAACATCTAGTAAACATTAAAAGACTCTTTTAAGGGTAAATAGGATAGGAAAATATCAACCCGAGGGGTTTTCAAATTTGGTAGAAGTCGAGTTTTCAAAATTCGTGATTTCAAGTCATTGTTGGGACATTGTGACGTCAGGTCACAAGAAATGGAGTGTAGGATAGAAATTTCCTACACTCCTTTCTTACCATGGACAGATCTATCTTACTCACACGGAACTGAGACAAAACTTTATTACCTATATCGAGATAAGACATGGTAAACAAAACCTCAATACCTATACCGATATAGCAAATGGTAAGCAAAACCTCATTACCTATACCGAGATAACACATGGTAAATAAAAACTCTTTACCTATACCGAGATAACACATGGTAATCAAAACCTCATTTCCTATACCGAGATAACACATGGTAAATAAAACCTCATTATCTATAACGAGATAACACATGGTAAGCAAAACCTCATTTTCTATATCGAGATAACACATGGTAAACACTATCTTATTACCTATACCGAGATAACACATGGTAAACAAAACCTCATTTCCTATACCGAGATAACACATGGTAAACAAAACCTCATTATCTATATCGAGATAACATATGCTAAACAAAATTTCTTATTCCGAGATAAAACATGGTAAACACAACCCCATTTTCTATACCGAGATAACACATGGTGAACAAATTCTCATTTCCTATACCGAGATAACACACGGTAAATAAAACCTCATTATCTATACCGAGTAACACATGGTAAACACAACCTCATTTTCTATACCGAGATAACACATGGTAAACACAATCTTATTACCTATACCGAGATAACACATGGTTAACAAAACCTCATTTCCTATACCTAGATAACACATGGTAAGCAAAATCTCATTATCTATATTGAGATATTACATGGTAAACAAACCCTTATTATTTTTTACCGAGATATCACATGGTAAACAAAACCTCATTATCTATATCGAGATAACACATGGTAAACGCAATCTTATTACCTATACCGAGATAACACATGGTAAATAAAAACTCTTTACCTATACCGAGATAACACATGGTAAACACAACCTCATTTTTTATACCGAGATAACACATGGTAAACAAAACCTCATTTCCTATACCGGGATAACACATGGTAAGCAAAACCTCATTATCTATGCCGGGATAACACATGGTAAACTAAACCTCATTATCTATACCGGGATAACACATGGTAAGCAAAACCTCATTATCTATACTGGGATAACACATGGTAAACAAAACCACATTATCTATACCAAGATAACACATGGTAAACAAAACCTCATTATCTATACCGGGATAACACATGGTAAGAAAAACCTCATTATCTATGCCGGGATAACACATGGTAAACTAAACCTCATTATCTATACCGGGATAACACATGGTAAACAAAACCTCATCACCTATACCGAGATAACACATGGTATACACAACCTCATTTCCTATACCGAGATAGCACATGGTGAACACAACCTCATTTCCTATACCGAGATAGCACATGGGGAACACAACCTCATTTCCTATACCGAGATAGCACATGGGGAACACAACCTCATTTCCTATACCGAGATAATAAAGGTAAACAAAACCTCAATTTTCTATGCCGAGATTACAAAGGTAAACAAACCCTCATTTTCTATACCGGGATAATACATGGTAAGCAAAACCTCATTATCTATCCCGAGATAACACTTGGTAAACAAAACCTCATTTCCTTCACCGAGATAACACATGGTAAATAAAAACTCTTTACCTATACCGAGATAACACATGGTATACACAACCTCATTTCCTATACCGAGATAGCACATGGTGAGCACAACCTCATTTCCTATACCGAGATAATAAAGGTAAACAAAACCTCAATTTTCTATGCCGAGATTACAAAGGTAAACAAACCCTCATTTTCTATACCGGGATAATACATGGTAAGCAAAACCTCATTATCTATCCCGAGATAACACTTGGTAAACAAAACCTCATTACCTATACCGAGATAACACATGGTAAATAAAAACTCTTTACCTATACCCCGAGATAACACATGGTAAACAAAACCTAATTTCCTATACCGATATAAAAACATGGTAAACAAAACCTCATTTTCTATACCGAGATAACACATGGTAAATAAAACCTCATTTCCTATACCGAGATAGCACATGGTGAGCACAACCTCATTTCCTATACCGAGATAATACATGGTAAACAAAACCTCATTACCTATACCGAGATAACACATGTTAACCACAACCTCATTTTCTATGCCGAGATAACACACGTTAACCACAACCTCATTTTCTATGCCGAGATAACACACGTTAAACAAAATATCATTTCCTATACCGAGATAACAAAGGTAAACAAAACCTCAATTTTCTATACCGAGATTACAAAGGTAAACAAAACCTCATTTTCTATACCGGGATAATACATGGTAAGCAAAACCTCATTATCTATACCGAGATAACACATGGTATACACAACCTCATTTCCTATACCGAGATATTACCTATACCGAGATAACACATGTTAACCACAACCTCATTTCCAATACCGAGATAACACACGGTAAACAAAACCTCATTTCCTATAACGAGATAGCACATGGTGAACACAACCTCATTTCCTATACCGAGATAACAAAGGTAAACAAAACCTCAATTTTCTATGCCGAGATTACAAAGGTAAACAAAACCTCATTTTCTATACCGGGATAATACATGGTAAGCAAAACCGCATTATCTATACCGAGATAACACATGGTGAACAAAACCTCATTATCTATACCGAGGTAACATAGTAAACAAAACCTCATTATCTATACCGAGATAACATAGTAAACAAAACCTCATTTCCTATACCGAGATAGCACATGGTGAACACAACCTCATTTCCTATACCGAGATAATACATGGTAAACAAAACCTCATTATCTTTTCCGAGATAACACATGGTAAGGAAAACCTCATTATCTATACCGAGACAAACACATGGTAAACACAATCTTATTACCTATACCGAGATTACACATGGTATACACAACCTCATTTCCTATACCGAGATAACACATGGTAAACACAATCTTAATACCTATACCGAGATAACACATGTTAACCACAACCTCATTTCCTATACCGAGATAACACACGGTAAACAAAACCTAATTTCCTATACCGAGATAACAAAGGTAAACACAACCTCATTTCCGATACCGAGATAACATAGTAAACAAAACCTTATTTCCTATACCGAGATAACAAATGGTAGACACAACCTAGTTTCCTATACCGAGATAACACATGGTAAACAAAACCTCATTTCCTTTACCGAGATAACACATGGTAAGCAAAATCTCATTATCTATACCGAGATAAAATAGTAAACAAAACCTCATTATCTATACCGAGATAACACATGGTTAACAAAATCTTATTACCTATACCGAGATAACACATGTTAACCACAACCTCATTTCCTATACCGAGATAATACATGGTAAACACAACCTCATTTCCTATATCGAGATAACACACGGTAAACAAAACCACATTTCCTATACCGAGATAACAAATGGTAGACACAACCTAGTTTCCTATACCGAGATAACACATGGTACATAAAAACTCTTTACCTATACCGAGATAACCCATGGGGAGCTAAACCTCATTATCTATACCGAGATAACACATGGTGAACAAAACCTCATTATCTATACCGAGATAATACATAGTAAACACAACCTCATTTCCTATACCGAGATAACACACGGTAAACAAAACCTCATTTCCTATACCGAGATAACAAAGGTAAACACAACCTCATTTTCGATACCGAGATAACATAGTAAACAAAACCTCATTTCCTATACCGAGATAACACATGGTAAACAAAACCTCATTTCCTATACCGAGATAACACATGGTAAACAAAACCTCATTTCCTATACCGAGATAACACATGGTAAACAAAACCTCATTTCCTATACCGAGATAACACATGGTAAGCAAAATCTCATTATCTATACCGAGATAAAATAGCAAACAAAACCTCATTATCTATACCGAGATAACACATGGTAAACAAAACCTCATTTCCTTTACCGAGATAACACATGGTAAATAAAAACTCTTTACCTATACCGAGATAACACATGGTAAACAAAACCTCATTATCTATACCGAGATAACACATGGTAAACAAAACCTCATTTCCTTTACCGAGATAACACATGGTAAATAAAAACTCTTTACCTATACCGAGATAACACATGGTGAACAAAACCTCATTATCTATACCGAGATAACAAATGGTAGACACAACCTCATTTCCTATACCGAGATAACACATGGTAAACAAAACCTCATTTCCTATACCGAGATAACGCATGGTAAACAAAACCTCATTTCCTATACCGAGATAACACATGGTAAGCAAAATCTCATTATCTATACAAAGATAAAATAGCAAACAAAACCTCATTATCTATACCGAGATAACACATGATTAACAAAATCTTATTACCTATACCGAGATAACACATGGTAAGCAAAACCTCATTATCTATACCGAGATAAAATAGTAAACAAAACCTCATTATCTATACCGAGATAACAAATGGTATACACAACCTCATTTCCTATACCGAGATAACAAAGGTAAACAAAACCTCATTTTTTATACCGAGATAGCACATGGTAAACAAAATCGTATTACCTATACCGAGGTTAGCAAACAGTTATATCATTTAACGAGACGACATTTACGTAATTTCAATGCCTTCAATGAGATAACGTGTGGTATGCAACACCTTTTAAATACTAGTGAACAAACACTCAATGCTTACACCAAAATAACTTTTTGTGACATTTGGAATACAAAACTCACTCTCTAAACCAAAAATCACTTCTGGAAAACAAAATCTTACAGCGCACACCGGGAACCAATCCATTATACAAAACTCACTGTCTACACAAATATTCTTTTGGTAAATAGAAACGTAAAATGCACAACGTAAGAACATATTGTATACAAAACTCACTCTCTAAACCAAAAATCACTTCTCGAAAATAAAATCCTACAGCGCACACCGGGAACCAATCCATTATACAAAACTTACTGTCTACACAAATATTCTTCTGGTAAATAGAAACGTAAAACGCACAACGTGCGAACATATTGTATACAAAACTCACTGTCTACACCAAAATGTCTTCTGGCCAAAAAAAAAAATAAAAAAAAATTCATCGCACACCGAGAGAACATCTATCTGGTAAACAAAACTCACTGTCTACACCGAAATTTACTTCGCGTGAATAAAAACGAACAGCGAACACCGAAAGAACAGCAGGTACACACAACCACTATCTACACCATAACTTACTTCACGTAAATAAAAAAAAGTACAGCGAACACCAAGAGAACACCTGGTAACCGGAAACGAAATAGCATTGTCTTCATTAAAACAACTCCTGCTTAGTAAATACTTCCTACATACACCAAGAAACGCTCTGTTAACCGATTGAAATGAAACTGATTACTGTGTTAAGCACGACAAAATGAAATAGAAAAAGTTTCAAAAAAATAGGAGAAAAACCCGGAAAAGAACCGCACAACATATAAAGCAAATATTGAAATGAAATGAAAAAAATGATTTTCAAATTTTATCAGCAATACTTTACAACACACAAACACTATTATTATTATGATAAATTACTTCTAACATACAATGAGTGGTCTTCACCAGATGACTGATGACAAGCATCACCAAACACAAGAAGGTAACTTCCGGTGATGACGTCATTTGGAAGGCAGCGGAGTTGGCACTGGTTTGACTCCATGGGGAGCCTGTTGTTGAGTGAGAAGGGGAAAGGCAATTAAATGTTAGCGATTAATTGGATTGTATATATATATTATTCCAATACGTTAGATAGAAACTAGCCATGACGACAACGTAGCATTCCAAACATAACATCCAGTTCTATATAAATATATATTTCATATATGTTTGTCAATTGAAGATGGTGTTTAATTTAAACGCAAAAATGTAAATAGGAAATTTGTTTCAGCGATGTTTTTCGTTTACATTCCCTAGTGACGAAATCACAGAATCAAATTTCATCAAATATTGCATTGATTTTGTGAAAATGAAGCTGTGTTTAGATATTTTATTTCGAGATGTACCTAAGATGGAATTTTGAATAAACTTAAAAAGGTAAATTGAATAACGTATACATAAATACTGCTGCCGTTTATCAGGTTATTCTCTTTGTTCCTTTTGGGACGCTGTATACAAAATGCTACGCTGTAGTTTCTACAAGTGACCTGACAGTTACTGTCCAACATGCATTTTGAGAGGAATACAATGTATGTTTAGTATATGACCTCGCCGTCTGGGCGCCAAGGTGGGCGGTAGCGTTGTTGTCGTTGTAGGGGTCGTAGTTGTTGTGGGCGTAGTCGTGGTAGTGGGCGTGGTCGGAGTATTGGTCGCGGACGTCGTAATCGCTATCATACGTAACAATATAACATGAAATGTATCCATACATCCTATTTTAGCCAGACTGATAAATATGACAATGCCTAATTTGACCTAGCAAGTCCATAGCGTAGCTGGGCAATGCTTGACAATTTCTGATAATGGTAAATAAAACATTTTTGCGAAATATTGAGTACATCTGCCATGTAATATATTACATACGAAGTGTATAAAGATGTATTCTGAATCAGTAGTTGTATACACCCATTTCCTCTATGTTATCAAGATAAATGAGACAAATTTACATGAAAGAAGACATAACAGGTGTATTCTTTATATTCTGTCCGACCCAACATGAATTATTCGTAACAAAACTAGATTAGCCATTTTAAGGTTCTCGTAGACCGTGTTTTGACCTAATACTATATATGTTGTTGCGGTGGGACAGGTATCGTGTATAACAATAACAATATGAAATCAATCGCTGCTCTGACAAAATGTGTAGGTTAAGGCAGTATAGCGACATTTAGTTAAATTCAGTCACTTATTTATATAGTCCATGAAAGCTCCATTTACAAAGGATGAGCACAAGGTCTAATATTGAGATATAAATGAGTAAACTACTCAGACATTTGCAGTTTTCCAAAACAAGGTTGCAAAGTACAAACGCGCTCAATTTCTGCTTTTCACATTTCTGATTCAATAAATACAGTACTGTTCGCATACACATAGATACGTCCATTCGGGAATAAAGATGAACGAACGCTTTAATAACATTTTTATAATCTGAGTTTTACACAGAAATAACATTTAACACCATAAAATATAAATTAGTTTTCAGCTCTTAGCGGGGCCGATGTAATGTACTTTAACAACAGCATACCAATTCTGTAGTAACTACTTTTACTCTGTTTTATATTTTGTGGTATGATATTATTACTCATTAACTGTTGTTTCTGCGTAAACTTTTGATAATATGTAATTTTGGCCTTTTTTGTGTCCTTATTTAGGGGTGGACTGGCTCGAAAATTGATAAACTTCATTGTCATGTGTCTGCCTTATGTGTATCCATCTCCAATCACATCTTATCACGTCATACAAGTACTGGATAGATTAAGCACAATTGTTTTGTGTACTGAATAAGGTTGCTGATTTTTATTTTATCAGATAGGGAATATATTAATTTTGTGTGTTGCAATCAATAATGCTTTTCCTATTTTAGTAATCTCTTGTATCGCTTATATCTTATACAGAAGTGCCTAACATTAACAGTTACAAATGTATTGATTGTATGTGTTTCAAGTGCAAATATTACCTGTATAAATCCTATTTTACATTTTTATTTTGAGAGGTTTGTAAGCTTTGTTCGGAGACGGATTGTCATATATAGGTTTAACACATATATATTACCGTGAATTTTGTGTAGATTTAAAAACAATTAAAACTACTTCATTCATAAATATTGACACAATTAAGAAAATATTAATTTGTAAGAATTCAAACTGATCACAATCACACATACGGAACGAAATAAGTATGAAAATTAAAACAAACTAAGATAGAAACACATTTGAAAACATAATAAATATGAATATTAAATGTTAAAGACTTTATTTAACAAATTGTCAATTCAAATTTTCCATATAATTTTTCATATTAAAACGAAGTATTGACTCTGCCACAAAATATTGTATTTCATATCATGTCATGAGTTGATTATATTGATATTTTTTGAAAAGATATTTTAGCTCAGAAATTAAAAATGCTTTAAAATTATCGTGTAAGCATGTTGTAAAAGCTACCAACGTTTTGAATACATATGTCTAGTGTAAGCCTTTCCAATAAATTTGACTAGTTTTACTGCAAGTTAAGGTAATATTTGAAGGACTAATGTATTGTTGACGTTGTGTAGGAAGGGAGCCTGAATATGTCGACCAACTGTACATGTGTTCAATAAATAGTATGGTATCTGCGCAAAGTGCAGGGGTACTAATTCCTTAAGATTATAACTGATGCGACACGTGTACTGTATCAAGTTGCAGAAATAGATTGCTTCTGTCCATAATTCGTTTTATGTTATATTTAAGAAGACGCTAATTTGGTAGTATAAAGCGATTAAGGGAAGTGGTGTTATATTCTTTCTGTTCAAAATGGATGGAAGTGATTCATTATAACGGTAGATCTAAAAAGTTTAAATAGAAAGAATTGCTTTTGAAAAACGAAAGGATAATTATCTGAGATATTTGTACTCTTCCTGTAGTCATTTTTTTTTGCATTATTTACCCTTTATTTTAAGTATGTACTTTATAGACAATCGTTCTTGTACACATTTAGATAAATCAGTGTAAGTATATTTGTTTCTTTATAAAAAAAACCCCGAAACGTGCCATGTATCAATGTAAACTTCTGCCATTGCATTTTTATATTTAATATTTTAACCAAATTATGAATATGATATAATTATTGGTATTGTTCGTCTGTACAACTCTTTATGTCTGTATCCGGTTATAAAATCCAGGCATCAAACGCCCTCCTGTTGTTGAGGGCGAATTTCTACACAATCATATATGCATAGAGGTCCAAATAAGTTTGTATTCCCTTCTATCATCCCATTGACATTTATCCTGGCAGGTTCGTTAATGATGAAAATATAACCTGATATATTCAACGGATTTTTTAATTTTGTATGTTAGTGACTGTCGCAATTTCAAATGTCTTCGATTATGAACACAGTAGTGTATGTGTGCAAATTTCACCAGTTGCCATATTTATGATCAATTCAATTGATTCGCCCAAACAAGGTAAGTACAAAATGTCTTGTGATATAGAGTAAAACATTTACTAAAGATGATATACTGAAATGGCGTGTAGTGGAGTTGAGTGAATCGTGATGTAAGTTCTCCCAACATCTAAAACTATTCGAGGATTAAGAATGATCACGAAACAGTTTTGAAGAGCTTTAAAAAAATGTGTCTACGCTGTTAGGTGTGACTGTGCCTGAAATTTTGAAGCCTCCAAAGGCATGAGGATTTTGCACGTTTTGACAATAAACCACACTTCATTGATTCACAAACCTAAACATTCAGGACAAAGTTTGGAGAAACGAACGATACTTGATAACTAAAGCAAAGAAGAGATATTCAAAATGTACCAAGCAGTATATCATATCAGATATAATAATGCATTTTAATATATTCTTTTGCTCTGAAAAATGTTAACTTCTTCTCCCGCTGTCTAGCAAATTTGTCTAAAGGAACCGTGATATGAATACAAATGTCACTTTCATAAACAATCAGTCTTAGAATTATGACATTATTTAACATTATAAAATTCTTAACAATCGATATCATCGCCTTAGGTTATTGTTATAACATTACCTTTAGTTGAGGATGGAGTTCTCTCTGAAAAGAAAACGATGCTCAGAATGAGTAACAGGTTTCCAAGAACAACTCAAATCATTTGAAATTATACATCTGAACAATGAAATAAATGGCAGCCAAATAAAAGAAGGCAATGCTGTTATTAAAGTTTGTATTTGCAAATCAAATCAAGCATTTTAGATTCAACCTTGGTCAGTATTCTGTCTCTAGACACCACATTTAAATTTCGGCTCTGCATCAAATTTGTATATAATGTTATTAATACAATACACAATACATTTAAGTATATATAAGTTACTTCGAGAACGTTTTCTTTCATAACAACTAAACGGATGTTAATAAACCAGTCGATATTTATGAACTATAAACCAAAAATTAGATTTTGCTTAATAAGATGAACCTTCATGGTAATAAGATGATGGCGTCAATGTATGCGTTTTTATATTGTATTGGAAAATAAATTACTCAAGCCAACTGACTATGCAATAAACGATAGGTTTTTCGTTTGAAACGCGTGAGGAACCAAATACAAATCACAGTAATGAATATGTGATTTGCATAAGCTTGTTTAAAATTAGTTTTGCCCAAAACGAGCTGCTCACCTCCTCTATGAGTCACAGAGGGCACGGGAGTAGCCAAACGCCAGTTGTCCATGGCTACGGAAGAGAATACTGCAAAAAGTTTGAGATGTGAAAATCTTGTGTTGCTTTTATATGCATAATACAGATTATAATTATCTAAAATCGAAACTCGTTTAAGACAAAACAATTGAATATTAAATGGAACAAAAGCAAAAATCCTAAGACTATAAAGCTGCTTCGAAATTCTGTCGAAAAAAATTCCTTTTTGTTAAAATAGAAATCAACAATGTATGATAACGAAAATATGTATTTCCTCCGACCATCAACGATCTACTGTTGTCAAGTTTAAAACTTCACAAAATGCAGATTAACTACAAACAGCGATACTATTTATATTAGATATGTATTTTAACTCACCATCTCCTTTGTCGCCCTTATCGCCTTTTCCTCCCTTGGGACCCGGAATACCTTGAAAACCGGGAAACCCCCTCTCCCCATAACCTACAACATGACGTCACTACATTTTGTAGGTGTGCTAATTTTCTGTAAGTTACACGTGCTTTTTAATATCCATTTTTTTAAAACTTAATAAATATATGATAGATGTTTTCAAAATTGCTCAGTAAAACTTTAATTGTAAATGTAATGACTTAATTTAGAGATTATTGTGAATAGTAAATTACTTGTCTTATAAGGGCTCCTAAAATGCACTGCTATCGTTTTAAAAAATTGGAATAGTTATCGCAAACTTAAAAAAAAATACGAACTTAATATTTTAAGTGAAGAATAGTGCTATCGATTGTACAAAATTAACACAAAGCTGATCGATTAGGCGATGATAATTGATAGAATAAACAGCATACGCGCATGTACTGTGATTTAGTTGTTATATAGTAAAAGTAGCTCGCAAATGAATACAATATCTAATTCTTTATCACTGTCGTTATACGGCCTTAGCTTTTAATTTTGTGTGTTTTTGTGTGCTGTTTTTGTTAAATGAAAATACATTTGTCAACATCAGAACTTAATAGCAAATAATGGTTGAATCAGCATGTACATCAAAATATAATGATAACATACAATCGATTAAGTAAAACCAATTAAAGGAATTTCAGAATAATATCTACCAAGGAAAAAAAAGATCGATTGAGTTTCTATGACTCTGTAGCTTGCAAAGAAATGAATCATCTATATTAAATATAATTTTAAAATTTCCAACAAGAACAAAGGGATTTCTCATAGTAAACGAGAAAATGCGTCTCGGTTACTTATGTCGGATTGTGATCAGTTTGAATTCAAGAAATGCATAATAACAGGAAAGTTTGTCTTCAGAAATACTTGTGACACTTATTGACACTCATGGCATATAGAAGAAACACCATCTTGCAATCCTCTTAAAACCACTTTCTTTTTATTTTATTTTTTATTTCCTGGCACAGCAGCTATGATCGGCCATGATTCCTTTTCAGCTTATTTAGCTAGCAGCATTTTGGTATTAGTTTTTAAAACTCACATTTGACATTTTTGGAGAAGATAAATTCATATTTAAACACCATTGGTTCCACAAAATATAAATAAAATGATCAATTACGCTAATGCAATAAACACAATTTGTGATGATTTTTGAAAGAATATTAGAAATAGGGATAACGTCATTTTAAGTGTCACACACGTATGTTCCATATCACCAACAACATTAATACAAAACAAAAATGGCTCCGGAACAAAGCAAATACTACGCTTTTCGATACTTTTATTCTAGTAATAAAAGATACTGTACAGAATCATACAATGTTGTTATATTTTCAATGTTCAATTTTCACTTGTAAGTTTGCGAATTGTGTAATGTGTTGAATTCGAGAATTCAAATCACCTTAAGCAGATGGTACCTACCATTTCGAACCGCCTGGTCTTATTATCTTTGTTCTTTTTCAGAGATCTCTATTTCATTTTTTCTCTTGCTCATATTTTGCCCTAGTTACATCGATTTAAGGTCGATTTACGCTTTTGTCTTCACTTCGGTATTGCCTTTGTGAATTGTTTTGAAGCTTAGATTGGGAAAATAACTCGGTCCGAACAAAGATAAAAAATAAACGATATTGTCAAGAGTCCATGGACTTATTTTACTTGTTATACTACAGTTATCATTAAACAGGGTTATTCCAGAATGTAAACCTAGCTCAGGCACCAATCCACCAAAGTGGATATGCATTGTATCGACAAAAACATACAGCAACAATTCGGATTCAAATAATGACGGAGGTATTCATATAAAAATTGAAGGATATTAATGAAATTTCCTGGAAAAAGAGTTTGAATGAGTATTCCTGATTTTTTGTTCGAAACGAAAATTGCAATTTTACGCGTGTTAAAATAATTCAGTTTTAAGTTTTACGATGCTAATAATGGTGATTTTTTCTATCATTTTAAAAATTAAACTTAAATGTCCTGAAATTCGAAATACTCACAATCATCGAATAAGTAAATCAATAAAAAAATGTATTTTGTTAAGACAGTGTCCAGAAAAATAAAGATTGCTGTCACATATGTGTTATGCAACAATACTGATACTGAAGTAGTTAGAGGATGCAACCCGACCTGCTACGTGGATGGCCTTCACCTTATTAAACTCGACTTATGAATACATTGTATAGAGACATCAGGTATTATCAGTAGTAATATCCACACCCACGTTGACCATAAGGCAATGATATATCCAGCAAACTTTAAAGCTCCTCATTTTTTCTCTATCGTGGAAGGAAACTGTATTAAGCTATAAAACCTACCTTTTTCTCCTTTCTTTCCATGGTCGCCTGAATAAAGTAAACAGTGAAACAATTGACAAAAACAATACATGACATAACGTTAACAAGCTCGAAGATACAATGTATTCCTAGATTGTAAGTTACGAACCTACTAATGATAGCAGGAAAGAGTTTTATTTCATATAGTTTGCAAGAATTTTCAAATAGATCATTGCGTAGGAATTTCTATTGCGATGGTTGGTTACTAGCGCGTTCGAGTACCGCTATTTGCGTTTCAAAATGTTTTTAAATGCATTTTAACGGTTCACGTCAGTGGCTCCATCAACCCCGATTTAAGGACTAGAACTTGTGTCGTTAATGCGTTTATATATGCACACCTGTAAACAACTTACGTGATATAGATTATCAAAGATTTCTAGCAGTAAAACAATCTTTAGAAATATACGAACAAAACATGAGAAACGACAGCAGAGAAACAATAACCAGTCCCGATAACCCTCCAGTGATATATCCTCTATACCGTTACCGATAGCTGAGGAACTTGATCAGCTAATTGAATTATAAAGAAATGATATATGAAATTTGCGTCCCAAGATAATAGATTTCAGATTGATTTTTTCCAGATTTTTTTTTAGTCTGGGCTATTGGACAAAAGGGACAACTAAAATTTAAGACTCATTGACATTAATCGATATGGCTATGATTGATGTAAAGGTAGGAACACACTTCAGATTATTGATATTTACGAATTCTTTTAATGTGATGTCTAGGTTCGAAAAGATATATCATGGTTCATCAAAAGATAAAATAGTATATACAGCGGTATGGTACAGCTGTGTGAAAGTACAACGCACAAAACTACACAGTGCGCACACATCGTGTTTACATTGTCGGCACACATTGCTCAAATTAAACAATCGTTAGCCCCTCTTATGTTCGCATACATTTTCGATTTCGGTAGGGTGATTTGATTAATATGAGGAAAAATATACATTGTATACATATGATTTTTTAAAATTACATTTCGCATTATATCCGATTCTACAATGCATGTTACGCTTTATAACAGTGATTGTAAAACTGCCAAGAATGGGGTTGGACTTTCATGTAACAGATTGGAGAGAGAATAGTTGTAGGTTCTGGAAGTCTAAATATATTCAATAGTATTCGAATCAACATTCACGGAAATACGTTATATATTCATTGAAAGTACTGATAACAAGATGGTCAGGTCGACAAGAACTTCTAGGAGTAACAACACCTGCTTTTCTCAACATTCAAGATATTAATGAATGTCTGAACATTTGCTCATAACGATTCGGTGTGTCACTTTTTAGAGAATTAATAGGGTTTATAGCAGTTATCGAAATAAAACTGGACCTTACGTGTACGTTATTGGAATTTATTTTAATCTAAATCTCCTCTGGGATATTTGAATTTAAAAACTCGGCAAGTGAGGAACCCAGGGGACGAGAAACAGGCCACTTGCATGGCGGCTACATGTATATGTATCGGTATGTACGTGTATGGGAAAGTGTCCAGTCAGGAAGCATGATTTCGTGTTGTGAAAAAAATATAAAAAGTTTCAATATCTGAATTACAAAATAGATAAGTAAGTTTATATATCTATTTAGGATATGGCAATATGTTTTATAGCATGAATACATAATTTTATAAAGAAATTGTATTTATTGATAAGTCACTTAAAATCTGCATTAAACATGATCGCTACATTGTATCGAACATCGTTCGTTTCACGTCAATCGTGTGCTCAAATATTCGCAATCTGCATTGTATTATCGTCAGGTTTTATCACTTACATATGGTGCGCACACAGCATATTGTGTAACGTTGTGCAATCACAAAACTGTATGTTTTAGTGGTTTTTTGTGTAAATTAATTGTCTTGTTCAAAAACACAAAAAGAAAATTACACATATTACGGTTACAAATGATCTCGATTTAAGAAACAATAAAGCAATGGGAATAAAAGTATATTAATTTACTGTTCTGTTCAATAACATTAACCGATATCATAATCCAAGGCTGATAATATAACACCAAACTACAAAAATCCTGGTCATGGCACCATTCGTATTTTTTCATACGTTAAATCAATCAATTACCTTTATCACCCTTGTATCCGGTAAAACCAATCAAACCTCTCACGCCCTTGCCACCTTTGTCGCCTTTTGGACCTGGAAACAAAACAAGTATATTCAAATGATTAAATTATATTTTATACTTTACAAATATACACATCATGTTTTTACTATGTAATACACTAGTAATAATATCGGAACAATAACAACAAGATATGTTAGGCCTTGCGGAGACTATAATAATAATCATAACTAATTCTTCATATAAATTTGAGTGTATCCATTTCTCGTATTTCAATGTGTAAGCTACATTAATTTGCTTTCACAATACTTATTTTGGGTTTCGAATAGGCATCCCATTTCCATTTCCAATTCTTCATGTGCATAACCTTTACAACTGGAGTGGAAACGTATCATCCGTCGCTGGCTAATATAATGTTTTGAAGGCAAAATGTTTTACCAAAATTTGCCAATGATAATAATTCCTACCTACCTAATTGTATACAAATATATAATATACTAATTGAATTATATCTATTTTCATATCAATGTAGCGTTAAGCATATTGTTTTGTTGAACAAATATTAAATCAGTATCTTGGTAGCGCAAAAGACGTTTTGTTTATACATAGTCATATGACCTGCGGAACACCAAACAATCATTAAGTTTGCTTCTTAACACTTTTTTTGTTTTTCAATATATACAAAATGAACATTTACATCAATATAACATATTTCGATATAAAATATTCTGATATTAACGCTATCAAAACAAAGAACTTCAACTGCTGTATTCCTATAAACACAACTTAGATTTTCAACTCATCCGGGAATTGGTTTTGTTATGTAACCAACTATTTCAGCTAATCTTAAATGAGATCTTTTGGTATGTTATAGCCTACATGAAAATGTATTTTGCAGCTAACAGTTGTATAAAGCTGCGACGAAGGTGATTAGCAAATAGCTATTCATTTCAACGATAACACGGTGATAAACACAACAAAGCTAGATGAATAACATAAAGACACCAAAAATGGGAATAATGTATAAAAAGAATCAAGAGCAATCTTTAAATGGGACAACAGAAGACAGAAATGTGTAATAATTTTTACATACATGAGCAGTTGCGACCGTTTCCCTGGAAACCTCTCTCTCCTCTTTCTCCCTTTCCTCCATTCTTTCCTGGTAATCCGGGACTGCCGTGCATCCCTTTGATCCCAGACTTGCCAGGCGTACCTCGTATTCCTTTCCTTCCCCTTCTGCCTTCATCTCCTTTACCACCTGGAGGGCCTGTTACAACAGAAAAAAGTGATGACAGAGGATATCTTATAATAGCTCAATAACAATTTAAACATGTAAATTAAAGTAGAATCTAGATTAGTCTGTCAATCTATTCCTAATAGATAATCCAGCCATCTTCATTCCTGACAGTAGAACATACAACCACCTTTGTTCCCAGTAAACAACTGCTCTTGTTCTCGGTAAGTAATGCAGCCATCTGCACTGCTAATAAAAGATGATATGACTCTATCTAGCATATGTGTGTTTGTAAGATGGAAACGTCCTTTTCCTACCTAAGGGTAGATAATTTTGTACGAAAAGGTGGGGTTTTTTTGCCGATAGTTTTTTTAACCCAAATTATGTACCTATAGGACATTTCTATCATAAGATATACATATGATAAAGATATTTGTCTTACATCGCTTACCAATAGATTTGATCAACAAGTAAAGTTGCCATCTCGTGGCAAAATATCATTTTCTTTATTAATGCACCCATTTTGAAACTACCGCTGGAAAGAGTGCATCACGTGACTCGATATGACGTCACATTGCATTGTCTTTGCATTATGCTGTCATGCCAATGTAAGACAGTTTTTTGCACGGTTTCCATCATGGGATTATAAGACGTATACGATAGGGAAATTCACATAGGGTAAAACCCGAGGCTTGTCCAGGGTTTTGAATACATTTGAAAATCCAAAGGGTGGCATTTCCATATACCACATCCGAGTGCATAAAACAGTATTTTTCTCGTATTTTAATCACCAGAATTAGCTCAGAAACCACAAAAAGGTTCGCAATTTCTTCATCACGGCATCGGAACGTTCCCAATATCGTGACGTCACGTCTTTGTGTCACCATTTTGTTTTTACGCAAAGTAATAAGAGCAACCTCTATCCTACATGGCTGGCCTTGTAAGAAAATTCTGTTACATTATGTTCCAATTAGTAGACAATAAAGCTACCTCCATTCTCAGCAAAACGGGCAGGTCCCTGCGACGGTTGTATTACCATGACGAATATGTATAGAAAAGGGCAAGCCATTGCCTTGGAACTCTGGCTTTATAGTTGGACCACTAGATTATTGTGGCTGGATTAATATGACGCGATTTATAATATATTTCAGTTGATATAACCTGAGAAACAACGTCATCATCAAGCAGTACATACAGTGTACTACCGGTAGGTCATATTAGTGAAATATGCAGTAATTCGTATTTAAATGCATTGTATAATTGCAATATGTCAATACTCGCGTACAATCCCAGTAAGAGACCCATAATAAGAAAGTGTACGCAATCATGCTCTCAGTACGGAACCGTCAATACTATGTCGTATACATCTGCATGTTACGTAAAAAAAAAGTATACGTATCTGAATTTGTCGGTTAATGAAACCCATTAAACAAACATATGTCAGATATGCAAAGCTCTAGGAGTTTTTTTTTAAGTGTGATAATTTTTGTTTAATGTTATAAAGACGATGTTAGTGTTTAGACTTCGTCACAACAAAAAGGCAACTACCGGCGCAAAAACACCAACACATAAGGAAACCCGCCCCCCTCCCCCCTCCCCATTTCCAATAAAATCACCGGATACTTAATATGGTGTTACCGAAGGACAAGCGATTCCTGTACCACAACTCCCACCAGTAGTAGCGACATAATCTTAAATCATTTCAGTGGTATTGGTTGTACACCAGGAAACGCTCTCCTTCCAGAGCATCTCGTTAAATAACCGGTGCTTTTTGTGGGTTATGGTTCCGATATCAAAGTCAACTATGAGACATGATTTCATGCGGCATGTGTAATGATTGTGCGTCATCTCAATTTTGACGTCAAAAAAATAACATCGGAGATAACTGAATGACACTGAATGTTTGCTGTTCTATTTATTGAAAATCTACTTCAAATCTGAAAAACCAATATTTAAACATCATCTAATAACTTTAAATGACAATTTTATCAAGCATTGTGTTGATAGTTATTGTCTTATAATTTTTAACAGGATTACACACCAATTAATCATGAAGTGCTCTATTCGACTTTTCTGAATTCCTGTTAAGAGGTATAGGACTGAAGCTCTGACTAACCTATATAACGTTACTATTATATGGACGTCACTTCACTAAGGATTGTTCATGCTGCTTTGAAAGTTATGTATTAAAATGAAATTATCATATGAATGTAAAGAAATAACCATTTTCAACATACCTCTTGGTCCTGGTGGCCCCATGGGACCTAAATGACCTTTAAGACCTAATTCTCCTTTTTGACCTTTAACGCCAGGGTCGCCTGAAAATCAAAGATTTTAATGAAGAGTATTTTTCTATATTCTGATTAGGTACTAGCATATGTTGTACAATTTTGCAGACCATGTGATCCGTTTAACTCACAAGTATATACAATACAGCAACAAAGGCTTTTAGCTCAATACAATAATTTCAAACATTAATTTTTAAGAAATGTTTTCATCGATATTTCATTTCCAAAAGATTTATTGTAACTGATAAATTAATAAAGGAAAAAGCTTGAAAATCCAATTATTTTTGTTAATTGTGATTGACGTTGACGCTTTGATACCAAAATTAGCATAATTGTCGAGAAATGAATAAGTGGCCTTCATAATATTTTAGCAATTTCCAGAAAATTGATCGGAATGTTCAGAATTAGGTGATGATTTTTCATTAATGTGTCACGTTTAGATCAATTTATGATTTTTCCTTCCCTACAATGATATATCATAATGAAAAAAACCCACTGTATTGCATCAAACTGTCAGAAGGCGTAGCGTATTTCATTTAACAGTTTTCTAAGCAAAAGAATAACAATTTATTTCAATATTGTAAGCGAGTTTACAATACTTCAACAGCATTGATTTATTCACATAAAGCACAAAACTTTTAAATTGTATTATGGATAAGTAAGCCAGTCCTGTTTTTTGGTAATGTACCTTGAAATATTCACCTACATCAAATATACACACTGGAGGAGTAATACGTTAACAACAAAACAAATATACTCGCTGGAGGAGTAATACGTTAACAACAGAACAAATAAATCACGCACAAGTACATGTTGATCGATATGACAAAACAAACGGAAATGAAAACATGTCCATGAAAGAAAAGGTGAATCAAAACATCTCTTAAATGTTTAAAAGTGGTCTAACATTGATTTGTTCCCGATAAACACCACGTTGGCAATTTCACGACGATATGCATGTAACAGCACAGAAACAAAGTAAAGACTCATGTTCTAATTGGTGCAAACAACAACTGCGCGTGTTTACTTGTTAACCTTATATCTTTAGTCATATTTTAGTTTCATGCAAATTAACTTTAAATTGATATCACCTACAAGAGTTGAGCTTAAACCAAGCTGAAAAAATATCGTTCGTTATTGACCAATCATAACGCGTTGCATATCCTCTTCTTATTGACATGACAATAATTCAGTAACGTTATACCTGAACATACATTTTCGATAAGAAAAGTGTTCAATACCACCTAATGCATCGTCACTGGTAAATGTTCAGTATTTGTCAAAATGCATTGAAAAGAAGCTTAAAATCGTCCAAATTCACTTGAATCTTATGACACCAATTGAAATCATATAATAAAAATTCATGTTAACGTGAACTCGTTGGAGTACCCCTGTATAAATTCTCCCACGAGAAATGAACGTTTTATTTCTATAGTACAGCACAGGGAAAACAGCGTTTCACATCACGATAACATATTAACTAACGTTGAATCGACACAATATTAGTGCTTTGTTAGACAGGCAACAATTCGTCAATTTTATATAAAGTCAGCACAACACTAAAAACAGAATCCAATACAACAAAGAATAACGACAAACAGATCAAAGAAGTTTAAAACAATAGGTCCACAACACAACAACAACGGTCACCTCTGTCCCCCTTGTATCCGGGGAAACCCAGAAGGCCCATCGGGCCTTGTTCCCCGTCCTCTCCCTTTTCTCCTCTTGGCCCTGTATAAGTGTAGATAAATACATTCATTGCCGGAATTTCTCTACAATTAAACGACGTAATACTTATAACGCCACGCATGATGATATCATTATGTAAGCAATCGATTTAAAAAACGTTTGAAGCTCCTGATCTATAAATTACATATAATTAACAATTGCTTACTCTTATTGAAACGTTAAGCTTCTATAAAATGAATATATAATCCTTTTCGTATCTTTCAAATCTTAGTCCAAAATCGTAAATTTGGGGCATGAGTTATCATATAAGCTGGTATCGTATCGAACTTCTCGGAATTACTGTGTTTATTCTCCATGTAAGCATAACTTTGGTTTTAGAATTACAAAACAAATCCCATTTCACTTTAATGACTGGCTCCATTATATATACACTTTAATGTTTGAGCCTTCACAGCGAAATTTGGTATAGCTTGCTCTTTATCAGATGTTAGAACGTATGTTGTAGACGTGGCTCTGTCGGAATCTGAGCAAGCTCATATAGTGTTAGTTTTAACGTCACCTGTAACTCAGTATTCTTTTCAATTTACACATGTTTGTGCCAGTTTAAACACTTTTACCGTATAGCACAGCTAACAGATACAGTCTGAAGTAAGGTGTAGAGAAAACGATGGTGTCAAATTCATTTTTAACGGAAATTCATCAATACAATGATAATGATTTAGTTTCGTTGACAATCTAATGCGAATGTATTACATTTAGCAATTTATTTGAAAAAAAAATTGGTACACAACTGACAATATTTTAATCATTACAAATGATATTTTTGCCAACGACAAACAACATTTCAGATATCAGTGACATATTTAATGGAATCGATACTTCTAAAATGAATTCTAACACGATTCGTTTGCAACGCGTGTTTTGATTGGATACGGACCATGTTCTAATCTGTGATAGACTCATGATCAATCGTGTTAAGCTCCTCCCATCGCACTTAAATCAAGCCCTGTTTCTAACCAAAGCCATATGGCGTCAAGCTCGCCTCATAGCGAAATCCCGCTGATAAGGCTAGTAGGCAACAAAACAAAACGACCGATGAAATGCATTTGTTGAATGAATTAAAAAGTAAAAAGTACACATTCATTGTTCTTACCTCCATTTATTACTGAAACATTCGTTCCATCCGTGTGAAGGCATCTATTTAGATTCGAAATCAAATGAAACATTTCACATGTTTCGCATGCATTTATACAAAACTCTTCACAAATCTATACAAATGATCACCGATTTTCCGATTTTGTCGATAAGCTCAGATTGGTATGCATACTGACATGGAAATACAAGAACTTGATTAATACTAATCCAAATGTGTCTTATACACTTTAGTAACAGGACGTTCACGAACAATCCAAATATTCCGCCTCGTCAGCATACAGATCGAGCTCTCGTCAGTATGGGCGGGGCTAAATGACCGACTTTTGAAAGCTTCTTTCCGATTGGTCAGTCCGCTGCAGAATGACACGTCGCCAGTTCAGGTCACAATGTATTTAACTACGTACTTTTGTACAGTACAAGGAAATACAATGTTTTTAAACATATTAGCGTAGTATATTCGCTAAGGTGTGTTAGAATGGGGACAGTACGTTGTTTTTCGTGTTCAAACCCAAATTTCATGTTCTAATCGCCAGCATAGCCACTCAAAACAACGTACTATCCCCTAATTAAAACTCACGGATACCTTATTGAACGTCAAACAAGGAAAGATAGTTGAGCATTGAACGACGATTTTTAGAATAAGAGAATTCCAATTAATGCTCTCCACACTATAAATTGTATAAGAACTCCAAGCTTCCTACAATAACTTGGATAGAGAAACCATTAATGCATGACTGCTCTCAGGACTTTCTTAAATAGGAACGTCAACGCCAACAAAAATTTAGCCTGATAAATTGATATGAACTACAACTAGAGATCTCAGTGAGATTCCCTCAGACGTTAACACTTACCCAGAACTCCCGGGGGTCCTGTTTTACCAGTAGGTCCCCTGTGGCCTGGAACGCCTGATTCGCCTTTTGGCCCCATTGGCCCCATGGGTCCTCGATGTCCCGTATCCCCTTTAAAAGAAAAAACAACACATTTTTGAGTAAAATTGTATTATATGCTACCAAGGTTTTGCTTTGAATTGTGAGTAAACGCATATTTCTTACATTACATGTACTTAAATGAAGACATAAACGGTCACAATGACTTGTCAAAATATGAAAAAGGGGAAATATTTACAAGGAGTTTACAATAAAAAAAATCAAAGATAACATGACCAGGGCCTGTAATCATAAAACCGTTCGCATGTTCAAGCATAGATTTTGTGCTCAAGCTCAATTTCTTGATCCGATTATATAAGATTAAAATCTTTTTTTTGTCAAGGATCTGGAAACATTTTCAAGAGACTTAAAGCTGAAACCTATTTTCAATGTTTACATGTGACGTTTTGATCAATTGCCATGATTAAGGCGAGTTACAAGAAAGTTGGTTTGAGCACAGGTTCATGCTTAAACATGGGAACAGTTTTACGGATAAGACCTGGTGTTCCGGAAGGGTAAGCGTCTTCTGCTCCATTGGCGACACTCGCTATGTGTATTTAGGCAAAATTAAACTAATTTCACACCTATGAACATTATAACACAAAGCGACCTTTACATCAGACAACGATATTTCACAATAATATCCTGATGGCGACCATAAGACTTGCCCATAGTCTTCATAAACCTGCGTCTTTAGAAGCTTTGTGTTGTATGTTTGTCTGTCGGCAGTTGACTTCTCTCACGAAAATCATGATATTCGGAGCAAGCTCTTGAATACCGAGTCAATCGCTACAGGTTGGGGAAGCATGGATGTTACATGTACCTCTGATAAGAAAATCGTGCAGCTTATCGTTCCGTTTAGAACAAAGCCGTCCCTGTTGGTAAAGTTATAAGCGTTTGATGTAGAAGAGTTTAAACAACATAATTATGTTAATGTTAGTTTGCACAATAAAAGTGCTCATTGTGAGAGAGTGAAGGCAAAACTGTAATAGTGTTTCCAGACAATGATCCAAGTATCAAACTCTTCGTCTGCCCACACAACTACGAAGTTACTTGATCATCATGCGGATCAGCATGATATTTGCAAAATCTTCAACTTCGCAAGATATGATTAACTTTGTATATTTTAACAAATATGACATGATCAATTGTTACTGTATGCCACAACACCTTCGACATAACCAGATATAACTCTGTTTTCTTTAACAGATTCGAGAAAAGATGCAAACTGGTGCAAACGATTCAACATAAATAGATTTAATGTGTATACCTCAACAGATTCGACAAAATCAGATATGGCTGTGTCTGTTTCGTCAGATTCAATATCAAACTGTGTATTACTCATCATATTCGACGTGACCAAATGTGACTATGTTCACCTGTATGCCTAATCAGATTCGACATAAATAGATGGGCGTGTTCTATTTCAGCAGATTCGATACAACCAGATATAACTGTGTATTACTCACTAGATTCGACATACTATGGCTGTACTTCATTTTACCTTGCTTTTTTGGCCGGAGTAAATCTGCTACAAATCTTCACATAGCAGTTGGCTATATATATTATATGTGTGGCACGTCTATGAAGTGTAACTGGAAATTTACAGTCACCAAGGGGATATGTTAGACGTAAACGGAGAGAGGAGGAGACGGTGTACCTTGCTCCAACGTAACATCACACTTAAAGGTGATCCTAGCATTTCAACGGACATAAACAACAAAATGGTAGATTTATGTACAAGACGCCGTATTTTATTAGTCAATCATACGTTGGTAGAGGCAAAAAACACGGAATGCATTGCATAATAAGATCATGTTCCCTCGAGTGGGATGTATATATTTCGGAGAATCATGACCGATGCGTGTATTCCGACACGAAAATATTCCTAGCAGGCTCATTTACGTTGCTATTTATCAGCTTACAATTCAGTAAACCTACCATACCAGAGGGCAGTTCACAAAAAAAACACGAAAAATGTAAAACAAAGCAATTTTGGATGATAATTATCAGCATTTCAAATCCCGAAACACGAGTTGTATCTGGATGGAGGAAATCGGTTAAAAATAATAGAAACGTTTTGTTAAGATGATAATAATTTAGATACAAATGTTAGTCGCGTTGTCTTGACACTTGACGTCTACGGGAGGGAGACGTACTATTAGAATACAGCCATCGGTCTGCGCTGTCACGTTCAAGGAATTTTTCGTCCATGTGAATGACAGGGATAAGAACAAGGATATCAATTTTCTCTTTTTAAAGTACTGGATTTCACATCAAAATAAATTGAAATAGTATCAATTTATTTGAAATATAGACAAAAAAAAACAAAGTTGGAATAAACACAAAATCAATATTCCGTATACGATAATTAGTGTTTAATCTGTTTAGGCCTTGGCACACGTTTGGCCGATCACACGCTATGATATGTGTATATGTTGTCAAGTCCCCGACGGAGGAGACGAAATAATACTAAGCTCTCCTAAACATCAGAATGAAAAGGTGTCCGTTTGCCAGACGCTGTCACGGGAATGTGTTTGTAACAATGTATTCTCGAGTAGAATAAATAAATCCTAGCTAGACTCTGTCTAAGAACGCGTTCTTGTTTTCCTGAACCCAAAATACGACGGGCGTGTAAATGATTGTTACACGCGTACGGAGATGTCATATTAGCCTGACAAAACAAGGTAAGGCATCCTATAAACACCTATCCAAAGTATCGCTTAAAACTGTATATTTTTCTGCTCTTATATAGTTTGTTCCTAACGTTTCAGGATGTTATTGTGAAACTTGGTTTCCTCTCGTATGTAGCAGTCGTAAAAATAACCGTTTTCTCCGAACATTTAAAAAATATGTTAATCTGCACTTTAAGATATCTCTGAAGTGCCGTTCCTAAATGTGAAAGCGTTGAAATGAACAAGAACTAACGTACCAGCTAATACAACGAGACAGCAAATGTTACGGAGTAACATCTTCGTTACAGTAACAAAGCTAATTGGCCAATGTGTTAAGTTCGGATTTAAGGTACGGTGTGGACAAGGAGTGCAATGTGCCAAAACAGCAATAAAATAGTGTTATTTAACACGACACTGCTATCGTTGCATGACTTTAAAGATAGAGCACAACGATATTTAGTTTACAGAGCGGCAATAGTAACGAATCTAAATGACAGCGATGTAAAAAAATATCAAACACCAGTTTATATCACTTGAGCTGTTCTTTTCAGATAAGTCTGATCTAAAAGTGTTAACAGTTCTAATAGTAATCAACAGCCAACATACTAAATGTTTTAAATAATAGAGCACAGCCATGCGACGTAACAAGACCAACACAGTGCTGGTATAATTACGCTCTGATTTAATTGGATTTAAACTCATCAATTATGTTTTACTTTCAAATTACTGCGTAAATAGGTGTTTAAACTATCACTTGTTCAAGGTAGCAGCTGCTGTGTTTTCAAACTGAGCTTTTTAACAACTTCGTTACATTCATTGCAATGCTTGTCTTTCTGTAATGTTATACTAATGAAACAAAATAAAATACAGAATCGATATAAAATTCTGACACATTCTGATCAATAAAATACATAGTGACCTTTATATTGCATACAACAGCTTCAACGTTAAACGACAAGTAAAATGCAAAACAGTAATTTGGAATAAGAGACAGGACTGGACTTTCCGCCTCCGACAGTTTGAAATAAATGAACAAATGAAAAATCTACAACTGCAAGGGACTGTTTTAAACACAATTCTTCACTTCAATACCAAGACATAACACTGGTATACATGTTTGATAATATTTATTCAAAAACCCTATCATAAATACTTGCATATTCTTTTGTTATATTAATGTTTCTATGCACAGTCTATTGTAATTTCATTGACCAACTAATGACCAAATAATGTTTAAGTATTACAAAAATTACATGTTCACATCGTCAATACAAAGAGGAGGCTAATTGCAACTTAGCTTATGAACTAACATCAATTTCGGCAGATTTTTAGGGAGTAACGTACAGTTTGTGTGTGTTGTAACCGGTGTTATGTATCAGGAATGCTGAAAGTATCAATTAATTTTGAGTTAGCAGGGCTGCAGAGACCTAGAGGACGACAGGCACCACACAGTGAGAACGGTAACGAGCACAGCTGTACGTACATATTTATACCTACTCCACATAAAACCCAACGCAAATATAGAATTGAACAAGGCCATCCTAAAATGACAATTTATTATAAATGACATCATGACACAAACTATGAAAACGATATAAAAGCACGTTGATGAGGAAGAATGTCAGAAGAAATTAATCAAACACCAACGGTTAATCACTCAACCTTCAACATCATTAGGGTTCCGTCAAATCCCCAAGCGACAAGATTTTCAAAAGACGAACCTAAACCATCCCTTATTTTTCAGCTAGTTCAGTAAAGTACACAAGCCCTCTCTCCTAACACGATAGCGTAAGTTGTTTGGCTACGCCCACCAGCTAAAACGAAGTCGAAGTCGATTTGATGAGACAACAACAGGAACTGGTGTGTGCGGAAAGTGACCGTTTCCGGCACCACATATGGAATCCCTTCTCCCGTCAATACAGGAAGGTTTAGTTTAAACATATTTTATTGTACAAATATACAAATGGATCGGACAACAAGTCATTACAATAGAGTCCTCTCCTCAATACATATTGTAAAAATAGTGTATATGTTTTAGGGGAAAGGGAAAAAGATAGGTTGAGGAAGGAAATGTGGGGTGGGAGGGGGTGGGGGTAATGGAAGGGAGGGGTGTTACCTAGAAAAGTAAACTTGTAAACTGAGAAATCGATCCGTATTTTAATAAATTATAAATTATACAGATTTCATGACATGCATCCTGGTAGAGTAATTTCAAAATGAACAGAATCAACGTAACAAATAAATCAGGCAAAATGATGAAATACAATTTCATAAACACATATAACAACTTACACATAAATAAAAATAGAAAAGTAATTATAACTATCAAAACCTATTGCCGGATTTGATGTAATGATGCACATGTCTAAAGATACTTATGTCGTTTTCTACCGAAAGTTGACTATTTCCAAACAAAAGTAGTTCTAAATTAAAATCAACATGCAAGGCATTCAAATTCAGGAAGGTATGTGGGTCACCAACGATCTAACTCTTAGACAATGTTATCCCGCTTATTTTCTGCAATAGTTATAAGTATCTAGACGTTCTGTTGTCATTAAGTATATCGTCAAGCTCTTCTACTGAACGAGCAGTTTAACATTCCAATGTACAAGATGAAAATGTCGGTGAAATATATTGTACAATATGCATTTTTCCCCGACAGAAGATTTATATATTGTAGCTTGACTATGCCCTTCTTTGTGACTCCTTTACGGAAACAGTCTCCATTGTGACCTAATTCACTTGGCTCATCACATGGAATCCCTGGTGATGTACAACACGCATTTAATATGATACTATTCTCACGAGTAAATGTTTTACTGGCTGTTACACATATTGATGCAACACGGAATTTGATATAAAGACAAAAACCGTGGTCTATTTACACCGTTGTAGACAGAACATTTACCAACCATCAGCTGTCTTAGTCATGGCAACGTTACATCTCGCGAGACAAACAACAGCCGATACGTACGACATGTAAGTGGTGTAAGGTTTGTTTTTAGCAATTATCTTGTGAATGTTAATGTTGTATGTGAAAATAAAAACAGAAAATCTAGACTAAAATAAAAACAAGACGATTTGAAAAAATAACTGAGAGAGCACGAAGAGTTAGCTACAGTACAAGTCGAATTAAGATTCAATTTCCTAAAAAAAGCCACCAAAGTCAAGGTTTCCTTCAATAATGTATCCGGATTGAGTCGATTCGTACTCGTTTCCCTCAGTTGACTAATTAAACAAGACTTCCTTACATCAATAGTAAGTGTATATCGTATCAATACATCACTTCCGCTAGATTGTCTAATGTGAATTCTTAAAAGCCGCATGTATAAATATTTGATTTTAACTGTAAGTTTACGCTTTATTTAGTTTTTTCTATTTTCAGTACCTGCTGGATATCACAACAATTTAAGAAAAACTACTTGCGGAATGCGTAGTATTACGAAGTGTACTAAATCACGAAAGAGTAATTTTGATTTCAATCGATTTATGGAATTTCATTTCTTTTATATGTTTTCTCTTTCTTTGCATCTTTCTTTTGTTGATTCGTTTTCAAATGTATTCCTTCATCCTTCAATTCATAATTCTGTGTCTGATTCATAAAATTTTGTTTTGATATGTCATGCCCTTCTGTCCTTTACCTTTCACTCCATGTTCATTGTTTGTTCTTTATGCCGTTGACCTCCCCTTATTCCATGCTGTATATTGTGTGTGAATATCCCATGCTGTATATTGTTTGTGAATATCCCATGCTGTATATTGTGTGTGGATATTCCATGCTGTATATTGTGAGGGGATATTCCATGCTGTATATTGAGAGGGGATATTCCATGCGTTGTGTGTGAGTATCCCATGCTGTGCTGTATATTGTGTGTGGATATTCCATGCTGTATATTGTGAGGGGATATTCCATGCTGTATGTTGTGTGTGAGTATCCCATGCTGTATATTGTGAGGGGATATTCCATGCTGTATATTGTGAGGGGATATTCCATGCTGTATATTGAGAGGGGATATTCCATGCTGTATATTGTGTGTGAATATCCCATTCTGTATATTGTGTGGGGATATTCCATGCTGTATATTGTGTGTGAATAGCCCATGCTGTATATTGTGTGTGAATATCCCATGCTGTATATTGTGTAGGGATATTCCATGCTGTATATTGTGTGTGAATATCCCATGCTGTATATTGTGTGGGGATATTCCATGCTGTATATCTTGAGGGGATATTCCATGCTGTATATTGTGTGGGGATATTCCATGCTGTATTTTGTGTGGGCATATTTCATGCTGTATATTGTGTGGGGACATTCTATGCTGTATATGGTGTGGGCATATTTCATGCTTATATTGTATTTGGATATTCCAAGCTGTATATTGTGAGGGGATATTCCATGCTGTATGTTGTGTGGGGATATTCCATGCTGTGTATTGTGTGGGGATATTCCATGCTGTATATTGTGTGGGATATTCCATGCCGTATATTGTGTGTGGATATTCCATGCTGTATATTGTGAGGGGATATTCCAAGCTGTATATTGTGTGTGGAAATTCCTTGCTGTATATTATGTGTGGATATTCCATGCTGTATATTGTGTGTGGATATTCTATGCTGTATATTGTGAGGGGATATTCCAAGCTGTATATTGTGTGTGGAAATCCCATGCTGTATATTGTGTGGGGATATTTCATGCTGTATTTTGTGTGGGGATATTCCATGCTGTATTTTGTGTGGGCATATTTCATGCTGTATATTGTGTGGGGATATTCCATGCTGTATATTGTGTGGGCATATTTCATGCTTATATTGTATTTGGATATTCCAAGCTAATTATTGTAAGGGGATATTCCATGCTGTATAGTGTGTGGGGATATTTCATGCTGTATATTGTGTCGGGCTAGCCGTGCTGTATATTGTGTGGGCATATTTCATGCTATATATTGTGTGGAGTTAGCCGTGCTGTATATTGTGCGGGGATATTTCATGCTATATATTGTGTGGAGTTAGCCGTGCTGTATATTTTGTGGGGATATTTCATGCTGAAAAATGTGAGGGGATATTCCATGCTATATATTGTGTGGGCATATTCTCCCCTTATTCCATGCTGTATATTTTGTGGGGATATTTCATTCTGTACACTGTGTGGGGATATTCTATGATGTATATTGTGTCGGGATAGCCGTGCTGTATAATGTGTGGGGATATTTCGTGCTGTACACTGTGTGGGGCTATTCCATGCTGTATAGTGTGTCGGGTTAGCCGGGCTGTTTATTGGGTGGGGATATTTCATGCTGTATTTTGTGAGGGGATATTCCATGCTATATATTGTGTGGAGTTAGCCGTGCTGTATACTGTGTGGGGATATTGCATGCTGTTTGTTGTGTTGGGGTGGGGGTGGTGTTTTTTGTGTGGGGATATTGCATGCTGTTTGTTGTGTTGGGGTGGGGGTGGTGTTTTTTGTGTGGGGATATTTCATGCTGTATATTGTTTGTGAATATCCCATGCTGTATTTTGTTTCGGGTTAGCCGTGCTGTATATTGTTTGGGGATATCTCATGCTGTCTATTGTGTGGGGATATCCCATGCTGTATTTTGTTTCGGGTTAGCCGTGCTGTTTATTGTGGGGGGATATTTCATGCTATATAGTGTGTGGGGTTAGCCGGGCCGTATATTGTTTGGGGATATCCCATGCTGTATATTGAGTGGGGATATTCCATAGTGTATATTGTGTCTGGCTAGCCGTGCTTTATATTGTGTGGGGATATTTCATTCTGTACACTGTGTGGGGATGGGGATATTCAATGCTGGATATTGTGTCGGGTTTGCCATGCTGTATATTGTTTGGGGATATCCCATGCTGTATATTGTGTCGGGCTAGCCGTGCTGTATATTGTGTTTGCATGCGTTTCTTGTCGTATTATTCAGAATATGCTGCACCTCATTGCCCCCCCCCCCTCTTTTTTTTAATTCGACAGCTGTTATCGAGAGCTTTGCTATGTTTCCCTTTGTCTATTGTTGATTATTAAGTCACGTGTAGTTCCAATATTATCAGACAGGAAGCACTGTTCGGTCCACAGCCTATCGTCCAGTTACACTTCCTGGTTTTCATATCATATTTTGAGTCATTCCTCGTTTTGCTTATGGATTTTTTGTTACATTTTGATTTTGTGATGATTTAAAGGTGAATAAGTGTAGTGCAATTAAACTAATAGAATTTTTGATCGATTTGTTTATTATACATTGCGTCAATAGTCCTAAAATAGTGATTATTGTGGTAGATACAATCATGCGTGATAAATGAACGGATTGTTTATTACAGGTAGTGGATTTCCCGATACACCGGTTTATTTACAGTCTCACATGTTGAATGTGACTGAGCGTTTTGGTCGGATCACGTAAATTCAGGCAGCGGTGTACTAATGTTATCATACTTTGAAATGTCGCACTAAAGTAAGAACGCAATATAAAATAGATGTTCAGTAATAATACTGAATAGTTTACAATGGTTTACAGCTGTACAATGACGGTCAAGAGTTGATATATACATGTGTATATATATTTCTAAAATAATAACTTTTGCGAGTTTGGTCGACCGATGGAAATTGAATGGCCGGAAAAAACAGGCTGTTTTGACAAGGAATAATATGGCAGGCAAGCTTAGGTACATGTAAACAGTGCTGGTTTTCTTAGTGGACTTACCCAACATAATAATAAAGAGAAAATATCGAGACTCAAAGCCGAAGAGTATAGTCGGTATAGACAGGAATTTGGGGTACACAGAGATCGGTATAGACAGGAATTTGGGTATACTGGGGTATGGTTAGACAAGTTATACTCGTCTACGGAAAATATGTCACAATGGATGATAATTTGTACAAAAGCTTAGTACATGTACTTATTTGCCAATATCTAAAATGAAAATGGTACTCATTTTTTGTCACATAACGTCATCTTGTTTGATTATGTTTTAATGTGGATTGAATCTGTAAATGCGATTTTAAATTATTCGAACGTATCTAGTTTCAACTGATTTGCACATTTGGTAACCTTCATTTCAAATAAACATGGTTCTGTGACCAGCGAAAATCGGGAACCAATCGTGCAAGTTCGAAGTTTGACGGAAAATCCCGAATTGTTTGAGATTTATTTTTATTTAGAGATTTTTCTTTGTTCTCTCACTGTTACCTCACATATTTGTAAGATTCGAACTGTCAAAATTCAACAATATGTGTATTTCTTTCTCCTAGTGCTTATTAAAAGGGTAGCTGTCTCGCCAATGAGACTATGACGCACCTTTTAATCCTGACATGCCGTTTCTGCCCGGGATTCCGTTAGTGCCCGGACGTCCATCCATTCCTCTCTCTCCTTTCGGACCAGATGTGCCCAGAAGTCCTGGGGTACCTGAAATTTATAGAAACCATATCAGCAAATACATTTGTGGTGTTCTATTTGTTTCTTCATTATAAGTGATCAAAGATTTTTCTTCTGTCTAGAAAGGTGAAATTGTTGCCCGTTTAAATACAGTCGAGACTTGTATATCCAGTCACAGCTGTTCAATTTCAAAAATACAATAAGATTTGTGAGGGACATACATTTGTTTACACGTGTCCTATAACCATATCATACTCCTTTTACTTAAATACATGTAGCTCGGAAAGTGGCTGGATTTACTCAGTTTTTAATGTTCTCAGTATAATACGTGCAATATATATTGTAATATTAAAATGTACACTATGAAAATAAAGTACAGTAAGTACTAATTTCCACCCAGAGTTGTCGTTCTTAAGTGAGTATAAGGAACGACAACTCACAGGCTTGGTAGATAAATAACGGTAAATTGAAAAACTGTTCCTTATAAATACGAATATGTGTAAATAATGTACTCGTACGTTTTACGGTTATCACATAGACATTTTCTTGCTAGTTCAGGGGCGAGAAATTATGATCACCGCTGTATATAAAATCATATATATATATATGTATGTTATTGGTAGCTGTATTACGTAGTGTTATATCTTTATGTTTGTTACTAAAAGATTGTCACCTTGTCGCTGATGTCAGTACGAGTCTACCAAACATGTAGCATTTAACGCTAATCTATATATAATACGATTTCACAAACATTATTCTGACGGATTTCAAGTCCTAAATCCGATTTGTTCGTTCAAAGTGACTATTGATAAATAAGATGAAGTAGATAGCTTCCTGGAAATGAGGACCTGTATTCCCTTGAAATGGGAACATCCATTCCTATATTTAATGATGATACGGGAATAAAAAGCGGAAAAGCAGAATTTGTTGGCGGAACAGGAAATAAAAGAGTGACTGGGATGCTACATGAACGGTAGGATTGTCCCCAGGAGATCGCCTTGCAGTGACGACTGCCTGCCGTAGAGTTGGAGGAGCATTAAAACATACTGAAATGTTGGTGTAAGGATGAGAAGTCATGCTATCTTCGTTTTAAGATACGAGTGATACTAGCGAAGGCATCTTTTATATCTTCGCCCGACTTTTATTTGGCCCTTAACTGCCTCTATATCGTAATGAATTAAGCGGATTTTGCTCATTTGAATTTTATTTTATTGAATATATTTGTTTAAAAGATACTGTTTCAAATGTGCACACGCTTACAAATGTTTTCACAAAGACATCTTCACAATGAAAATATTTGATAAAGAAAGGTTTATGATACAGGGTAAAAAACGAAATGAACGGGATCTTATGTCTAGCTAGGTAAGCCTTCACGTTGAAGTTTACCCACCCACCCTACCTCTTGATACATGAGTTAACGTCAGTAGGATGGGCTATTCTTTCGCGCGTTATTAAAAGTACATATGTACTGCTAGTTGATGGTCCTGCTTGTGTAGATACATGTATTACAAACAATAGTATGTTACTACATACCTCTGTGACCCTTCTCTCCTGGTGGCCCAGGCTGACCTGTGAAAAGGAATATTGAGCATTAATGCCGAACAATATGGACGCAGGTTAAATCACATGATATTCAGTTTAACAACATATCAAATAAGTAAAAATATGTAAATACACATTGAGTTAAATAGACTACATATTGGATAAATCACAAACAGCCAGCGAAATATACACGTTGGGAATGGCTACCAAACTTACCAGATATCACAGTAAAGCACGGGAGGACTAACCGACCGAAAACTGACCAAGGAAAAAACACCAGGGGTTTCGGCAAACCGCTGAACCTGACATATGTGTATATACAGTCTGTATATATATCATGCACCTTAGGGATAATTTGATTATGCTGCTCTATAACAAAATGATATAGCCATATTCAGCTATATCGTTATAGTATACCATGAATATATCTTACATCACTCAACACACCTAAGATTACAAACCCAACTCTTATAAATCATCTGATCAATTTATGCCCCTTTCTCCCCTTTTTCTTTGTAAATCCAATCACGCCAATTGAAATATCCTTTTACTATACTTTCTTACCAAACCAACTACAACGAGATTGAGCGCAAGGATAATACGTATACTGTCTAAAACTTTAAACACTTCTATTCAAAGGATGGCCTTGATGAGTTTTTTTTTTCTTTACTAGCCATCATTCTCTTAGGGCAGGCAACCCCTGCGACTCAGATGTATGAAACAATACCCCCAATAAAGAGTTTAGAAGTGGAATTGACAGATCCGCTCTCGATAAACCTGTCTTTGCTACACCTCTGCAACGAGTAACATGTATTGACAGCTGAATCCATATTTAAACATTTTTATTATTAATTTGGTTAAAGAGGTCAGCTATGAAAAGCCCGACCTCATCAAAAACTAAAGTTTGTTATACTATTTCAACACTAAAGTCTAATCAGCGAAATTATATATGACAGATTCATATGTAAAATGTATTGCTTTATTTTTTATTTTTTATTATAATCCAAAGCAAAATTATGAATTATTTAAAACAACATTTAATATGAATATCATTGTATAGTTCATAATTTTAAATATAAAATATAGGTATTTATTACATTAAACTATGATAAAAATCCCAAAGAGATTAAACAAAATTTAAAAAGCAGGGGAGATAACTCTTAAATGATAAATTTCTTTACTTCAGCTTAAAAGTATATGCAGTGTTTTGCAAAGCATATTTTTATTATAGCCATACTATATATCACTACAGTGTCTAGAATCACCAAATTACTACAGACTCTTTTATTTAATACCGCAATATTGTATGGCGGCCTTATTATCAGAAGGAAAACCTGAATTTTCATCGATAACTCAGGGAAAAATAATAACCGAAAAACAACTACAGCTTTTATCCTTACTCTTTATGGCATATTTCATTGCAAATTCAAGATTGATTAACAAAAGAAAGACATTTCAAACGATTCTCAATAACACATAACTGATACATTTTGGTTAGATTTGAGTAAAAGTGGATAACTTCCCCTGAATTTTTTATACATTGAAATCTGAGATATTTTGATCAAAATGTGATCAGTTTGTAAGGATTTGCAATCATACATGTAAAACACTACACAACTTTTCTCCAAAAACCACTATAGGTTACCTAAATCCTGACTCATTGGATTAACCTTAGTTATTTTCATAGTGTACAATTTAATATTACAATATATATTGTACGTATTATACTTCGAACATTAAAAACTAGGTAAATCCAGCCACTTTCACAGCTACATGCATATGTACTCAAGTAATTTTCCATGGTGACGTCATAGCTCGGTTTCTGGATTCAATATCATAATTGTATGAGAGGAAAAGGTCCCAAAACTCGACAATACAAGCGTGCTAAGATTGTCCAGAAGCAGACGGAATTAATTGTACAGATGAAAATAAATGTTCGGTTCTCGGTATCAACAGAGAGGTAAAACGTATCGACAGCTAAACTCTTTTCATACACAGCTATAACTCTAGGCTTACCCACTTTTTATCATTTCATGAAAGAGGTCAGCTATGGATACTCTAACCTCATAATAGACGTCTAAACTATTTCAGATCGATAACCAACATAGCGATAATATGTATGACAGATATATATGTAAAGTGTATTTAGTTAATTAATATAAACCAAAGAAGAATCATTACTTTTTTATAAGATTATCTAATAATGATATAATTCATTAAGAACATTTTTAATCAAACAACAAGTGTATAATAAAAATCGTAAAGGATTATTTTAAATATAAAAAAACGATGTTGGAAGTAACTCCTTCGGAATATTCTTTACTCCCTTTATTCTGCGGTGACTAGATAATATAGACTTGGTAGTGGGACAATGGTATCTGTGTTGACACCGTTATATAGACTTTGTAGTGGGACAATGGTATCTGTTGTGACAGGATTATATAGACTTAGTGGTGGGACAATGGTATCTGTGTTGACACCGTTATATAGACTTGGGAGTGGGACAATGGTATCTGTTGTGACAGGATTATATAGACTTGGTAGTGAGACAATGGTATCTGTGGTGAATGGATTACATAGCCTTGGTAGTGGGACAATGGTAAATGTGGTAACAGGGTTATATAAAATTGGTAGTGAGACAATGGTATCTGTGGTGGCTGCATTATATAGACTTGGTAGTGGGACAATGGGTTCTGTGTTGACACCGTTATATAGACGTGGTAGTGGGACAATGGTATAGGTGGTGACAGGGTTATACAAAAATGTATAGACTTGGTAGTGGGACAATGGGATCTGTGTTGACACCGTTATATAGACTTGGGAGTGGGACAATGGTATATGTGGGGACTGGATTATATAGACTTGGTAGAGGGACAATGGTATCTGTGGTGACTGGATTATATAGACTTGGTAGTGAGACAATGGTATCTGTGGTGAATGGATTACATAGACTTGGTAGTGGGAAAATGGTATCTGTGGTAACAGGGTTATATAGACTTGGTTGTGGGACAATGGTATCTGTGTTGACACCGTTATATAGACTTGGTAGAGGGACAATGGTATCTGTGGTGACACCGTTATATAGACTTGGTAGTGGGACCATGGTATCTGTGTTGACACCGTTATATAGACTTTGTAGTGGGACAATGGTATCTGCTGTGACAGGATTATATAGACTTAGTGGTGGGACAATGGTATCTGTGTTGACACCGTTATATAGACTTTGTAGTGGGACAATGGTATCTGCTGTGACAGGATTATATAGACTTAGTGGTGGGACAATGGTATCTGTGTTGACACCGTTATATAGACGTGGTAGTGGGACAATGGTATATGTGGTGACTGGATTATATAGACTTGGTAGTGGGACAATGGTATCTGTTGTGACAGGATTATATAGACTTGGTAGTGGGACAATGGTATATGTGGTGACTGGATTATATAGACTTGGTAGTGAGACAATGGTATCTGTGGTGAATGGATTACATAGACTTGGTAGTGGGACAATGGTATCTGTGGTAACAGGGTTATATAGACTTGGTAGTGGGACAATGGTATCTGTGGTGGCTGGATTACATAGACTTGGTAGTGGGACAATGGTATCTGTGTTGACACCGTTATATAGACTTGGTAGTGGGACAATGGTATATGTGGTAACAGGGTTATATAAAATTGATAGTGGGACAATGGTATCTGTGGTGGCTGGATTATATAGACTTGGTAGTGGGACAATGGTATCTGTGTTGACACCGTTATATAGACTTGGTAGTGGGACAATGGTATCTGTGGTGGCTGGATTATATAGACTTGGTAGCGGGACAATGGTATCTGTGGTGACTGGATTATATAGACTTGGTAGTGGGACAATGGTATCTGTGATGGCTGAATTATATAGACTTGGTAGTGAGACAATGGTATCTGTTGTGACTGGATTATATAGACTAGATAGTTGGACTACGGTATCTATGGTTGCTAGATTAACGAAGTTGGGTATTGGGACAATGAGATTACTTGCGTCTGGATTTGTCGGACTCCATTGTATCTGTTATAAAATCTAGATCAAAGTGTTTAAGGACAAGCAAACGAAACATCGAATGCTGATTCTATTTTTTTTAACCAATTGTTTGGATTAGAATCGATCGTTACCATACAAATAAGAGTTATAATTAATCTCAAGGAGCTCGTTGTTTGAACTTCCATTTAATTAACCAAAAAATTAAAATGGAATTAAATGTCAATTACTGATTAAAGTCTGAATCATTATTATAAAAACGTGTCATTAGAAAAGGAGATTAAAGGTTACGTAATTAGGTTAAAGACTAAAAGAAAGAGTAAAATTATTTTAATTAATATATCACTGGTTTAAATGGGTTCTCGCTTAAATTTATAATTCGTCTATTGCTGGTTTACATACAAACATGCACGACATTTGCAACTGATAAGCGCTAGCTGAGTTTGTGTCTCATCTATTTTGATTCATTGAATATAGGATATTTCATTTTTGTCAATTAGTTATTGATATTTGCTGATTGTTTTCACTTGGTATGGCATATTGCTCCCTTCAGAGATCTGTCAAACAACTGGTCTAATAAATATTAGCTTTAAAGGTTGTATACATATCAAAGATTATAATATAAGCTAAAAATAAATAATCTTACAATGTCGCGTTAATGACCATCAGTTGTAAGTAAATATCGTACATACGGTTGATCATCGTTAGTGCAACATTGTGAGTAAAATAATTTTAAACTTATATCTATAAGACCGAATGCTTGACAATGCATATATTTGCAATACCCTGCAAGTCGGGGATTAAGAAAAGAATATACCTCCTGTAACAACTGCATGTTGTAAAAGACAACACATGTGAGAACCCCTGCGGAATTGGGAATTTGCCTAAGTGTTCTTTACTTGCAAACATTTCGCATTTAAGAAGCATGGATTTAACAAAATGTGGAATAAAGTTGAAAAAAGAGCGGTCCAAATGTTTGCAATAAGCGCAGCGGATCAATGAGATATCTTCCATATTCCCTCCCGACAGTAGAGATATGGAAGCTGTCAGATACAACATGATTAACCCCTTTCCGACAATGCAGACATATCCCCCTCCCCGACACTGCAGGAACACAACAGAACTATACCCTCCCCGACACTGCAGGAACACAACAGAACTACCCCTCCCCGACACTGCAGGGACACAACAGAACTATCCCCCCCCCGACACTGCAGGAACACAACAGAACTACCCCTCCCCGACACTGCAGGGACACAACAGAACTACCCCTCCCCGACACTGCAGGGACACAACAGAACTACCCCCTCTCCGACACTGCAGGGACACAGCAGAACTATCCCCTCCCCGACACTGCAGGGACACAACAGAACTATCACCTCCCCGACATTGCAGGAACACAACAGAACTATCCCCTTCCCGACACTGCAGGTATACAGCAAAACTATATCCCTTCCAGTTACAACAGAACTATCCCCTCCTCGACACTGCAGGGACACAACAGAACTATCCCCTCCCCGACATTGCAGGGATACAACAGGACTATCCCTCACCCGACTTTGCAGGTATACAGCAAAACTATATCCCCTCCCCGACATTGCAGGAACACAACAGGACTATCCCTCACCCGACATTGCAGGTATACAGCAAAACTATATCCCTTCCAGTTACAACCGAACTATCACCTCCCCGACATTGCAGGGATACAACAGGACTATCCCTCACCCGACTTTGCAGGTATACAGCAAAACTATATCCCCTCCCCGACATTGCAGGAACACAACAGGACTATCCCTCACCCGACATTGCAGGTATACAGCAAAACTATATCCCTTCCAGTTACAACCGAACTATCCCCTCCCCGACATTGCAGGGATACAACAGGACTATCCCTCACCCGACTTTGCAGGTATACAGCAAAACTATATCCCCTCCCCGACATTGCAGGAACACAACAGGACTATCCCTCACCCGACATTGCAGGTATACAGCAAAACTATATCCCTTCCAGTTACAACAGAACTATCCCCTCCTCGACACTGCAGGGACACAACAGAACTACCCCCTTCCCGACACTGCAGGAACACAACAGAACTATCCCCTTCCCGACACTGCAGGTATACAGCAAAACTATATCCCTTCCAGTTACAACAGAACTATCCCCTCCTCGACACTGCAGGGACACAACAGAACTACCCCCTCCCCGACACTGCAGGGACACAACAGAACTATCCCCTCTCCGACACTGCAGGGACACAGCAGAACTATCCCCTCCTCGACACTGCAGGGACACAACAGAACTATCCCCTTCCCGACACTGCAGGTATACAGCAAAAGTATATCCCCTCCCCGACATTGCAAGAACACAACAGGACTATCCCCCCCCCGACACTGCAGGAACACAACAGAACTATCCCCTCCCCGACATTGCAGGGATACAACAGGACTATCCCTCACCCGACATTGCAGGTATACAGCAAAACTATATCCCCTCCCCGACATTGCAGGAACACAACAGGACTATCCCTCACCCGACATTGCAGGTATACAGCAAAACTATATCCCTTCCAAATACAACAGAACTATCCCCTCCCCGACACTACAGGGATACAGCAGAAATAATCCACTTTCCGACATTGCAGGAATACAGCAGGGCTACTACCACCCTAATTTAACAAAACTGCTCTCTCCCCGACACTGCAGGAATACAGCAGGACTATCCCCTCACCAACATTACAGGGATAAAGCAGGAAATTCCCCTCTCCGACATTGCAGGGATACAACAGGGCTATACCCTCCCCGACATTGCAGGGACACAACAGGACTATCCCCTCCTCAACATAGCAGGGAAACAGCAGGACTATCCCCTCCCCAACATTGCAGGGAAACAGCAGGACTAACCCTTCCCCGACATTGCAGGTTTCAACAAAAGGACTTTCCCCTTCTCCGACACTGCATGGATACAGCAGAAATAATTCCATTTCCGACATTTCAGAGAAACAGCAGGACTACTCCCACTCTAATTCAACGGGGCTACTCTCTCCCCAACATTGCAGGCAGGACTATCCCCTCTTCGACATTACATGGAAAAAGCAGGACTATCCCCTCTCCGACATTACAGGGGAAAAGCAGGACTATCCCCTCCCCGACATTACAGGGAAACAGCAGGACTATCCCCTCCTCAACATAGCAGGGAAACAGCAGGACTATCCCCTCCCCAACATTGCAGGGAAACAGCAGGACTATCACCTCCCCAACACTGCAGGAAAACAGCAGGACTATCCCCTCCCCAACATTGCAGGGAAACAGCAGGACTATCCACTCCCCGACATTTCGGGGAAACAGCAGGACTTCCCCTCTACGACATTTCGTAAAACAGCAAAACTTTCCCTTCCTCGACATTACGGGGACGCAAAAAGATTATTCAATTCACCACTCCGTTACTTTTGTCGTAACAAAGATGTTGAAATGAAAAGTTGTATCTGCTTACTGTAAAACAATATAATTACGGTGATACATATTTTCACGGTGGTGTCTATCACATACAGTGATCTCTACAATAGAAGTGTTTTATACTCGCCTTTGTTCTTGACGTTACAGTGATCATACAGTGCTGTACAGTACTCCACAAAATCGGCACTCTGCAAAACAGAAACAAATAAACATCACAACCAACAGTACTAAACAGAATATAAATCCACATACAACGTACAAGTAACTTTTTTTTTTTAAACCAGATAGTTCCTAACTCCAACCTTCAATGTTCACACTGTTGTAAAACTAACGAATTCTCACTGATTTTTTTTTCACAATTGCATTGATAAATTCAGTATTAATTGGTAATTTTTCTGCATTGTAAATAACACTTTATGCCTTAAACAATGAAATCACAAATAGCACAATACAATGAAAAATGTACGGCGGAGGATACTGATGTTTGTACAGTTTTGATTAAAACTTTGATAATCTTATGAGTATAATCGGTATTTACTCTACTTTTCATCCACAAAAATAATAAATTTATTCCTAAAAAGAAGTCTTGCGATGTACGAAAACGACATTTAGGTAATGTGATCATATATGTAATGCACCAACATTTCACGTCCACATGGCGCCAGACTGGTGGGCTTTTTCGAAGAAAAGGATTTACAACAGTAAATTGTGGATTGGAGTCAGATAAATGTAATTAAAAGAACATTTTATGGTTAAACACCACAGACATTTCACGAGTGTGGAAGAAGTCCCTGGGATTATGCAATACATTTTACCTTAAACGAGAAAGGAATCCTGAGACAAGTGTTTTGAGCAAGAAATTTCTTAATTTTCTTATTTTTCTGTGTATATCAGTCGTACTGTCATGTGGTATTCAAGAAAATAAATGAAACAAATCAAAATCTGCACCAAATTGTAACTGTCTAGAAATTCGAACGTCAGGATAGAAAAACTGTTGATTAATGGCATTTGAACTGCTCTGCTCTATACACACATGCGACAGCACCTACATGTATAAAGTGAGATTTTGCCTAATTATCTACTCCTACAGGAATTGTTGTAAAATTTTAACGAAATATAGAGATACTCATGGACGACTTTGCATATAATATTGAAGATATTCAATTTAAGACAAAACATCATTTGTATAATCGTCATGTTTGTTATTACAATTTTCATAAAAATCCACAGAAACTTGAAGATATCAATAGGTAATCGATAGAACTCGCCGAGACTGAAAGCGACCTCTTTAGGCTTCCTCTCCACACGAATGTATTTTAAGATTTTTCAGAAGTACGTCAATACAAGATTGTTTATGTTGTAGGTTGTATTCCAATCCCTTTGCCTCCCAATTATACACCGATGATTATACAATGAAATTCTGTTTCATAGCTGCTGAAGGTTTATTGGACGGTAATTAGGAGTAACAGTTACGCCTGGGTATAAGGCCGACTACACTGATTATATATAACGCTACTCATCAGCTATCATTGGAAATCTCTTTATCTTTGCATTATTTCGTGAACTATGTCTGTTGGTTTTATTTGTAAATACTTTTAGAATGGTTTGACATTGAGAGTAATTTTCCGTGGGAACATTATTTACGGAAGATTTAAACTCATGTTAACTCCTCACTAACTAACGCGGAAATTAACCCCACGAAGTGTTTTTTTTTTGTCATAAAGAATAAAAAAAGTTTTATATGAATATAGTGTCATTTCATTGTGCAAATTAATATCTTTTGAATAAACGAGTAAAATCAAAGATGATGACCGTAAAAATCATAGATAAATAATCATCTAAAAAATATATATAAATTACCTTTTTAAATGAAGTACATGTATTAAAAAACGTTTTGTGTGGGCGACAAAACTTGACTTCACACTTACTCTTGAGACAGCGAGCTGGTTTCTCTAAACTAAGACAATTTTAAATTTTTAAAAAGCACTTCCAAATTTATTGTTCCAAAGTGATTTCAAAATATTTGTGACAATGGTTTTGTTAGTTAAAAAAGTATTATGTATCTAACAGGTAGTTAAAAAAGAGATTTTCACACGAATAGACGGTTTTGAGGATATTTTCAAAAAATCCTGATCTGTTGGTAACCTTATTGAACAATGTTACATCTCAATATAACAGACCGCTTCCGTAAAGTGTTGATGAAAATAGGTAATTTTTACAAGTGACCGGAAGTAGTACGCCATAGATGTGTTTCAGTAAGGCCTTGTAGACATGTGAACTAACGGCCATTAGCATAGTTATAAACGTGTCCAGTGTTCATTTGACCATGGTACATAACAGAACATATTTCGAACTGAAGATCAAGCGAAGTTTTTCATTTGAAAGTTTATTTAAAACAAAAACAGGTGATTTTTATAGTCACTGACATCGTATTAATTTCCAGATCGTTCCAACTCACATATTTTAATTTCGGATGTCAGGGTAAACATGAAAGGAAGGAAAACTCCCTAACGAGAAACAAATAAACAAGATACCGAGTGTTGCAAAGGGTATAGCCTTTCATTTCTTGGTAATTCAATGTCCCGACGACAACGAAGCAATCCCCTGTCCTGCAACTACCAGAGAATGACAAAAAATAGTATTTAAAAAAAAAAAAAAAAAAAAAAAAAAAAAAAAAAAAAAANGGTCATTAGCTTATCCTGTCTTCTGAAATACATATTCCAACGGTCGATTACTAAAGATGATTCTTACATATTTGTATGAGGTTCAACTGTCCCGATAAACTCTTATCAGCTATCTCTTTCAAAATTAATTCTCACGAGCTACACTGTATCTCTTCCAAACATTCTTCTCACGCGCTGTCTCTGTCAAAAAAATAATGCGCACGAGCTGTCTCTTTCCAACTTATTTCTCACGAGCTTTCCCTGCCACGATTAATTTGACGATTTCTAGGTTAACTGAATACCTAACTGCTGAATGTGGTGAAGTAAAAACATAAATAAGTTGACATGGGGTCAAAGTGTTGTTAAATCATATGTTACAAGTAAGGAATGAACGGTTATAATGATATCAGCTTTGCGGAGACAATCTACATGGATTGTACTGCAATCATACGTAGGCAGTCGTCATAGATACACATTGTCACGTTGTCTGGAAAGAATAAATACAGAATACTTGGGTCGTCACTAGTGATCACATCTATCTGCTTGGGATTTGTTAGAGTAGCTTATTCTGACTTGACCCATCATACATGCCTCGTTTTCCCTCTTGATGTTGGCGACACCCATATGAATCTTCAGGAATTACTTTACCAGTCACAGACTGTAAATGTTCCGTCCTGATAACGACACCAGCAGGTGCCCATGGGGAACACTCAGTAACTCGTCAAGACAGCGTGAGAATGGTCCTGGTCGTGGCAGCTGTCTGCACAATATTGTGATGACGTCAAATACGTTCAATTATACACAGTAAACGTGTTGACTGTTCACGAAATCGGACCTGTCTGGCCAGCCATACATTTTAACATCATGTTTACTCATACACATCGACCATCAAACAACACAAGTCTGTCTGTACAACCATTGACGCCCTGCTAACTTTTCTCTTACCAAACCATAGAAACGGTCTACCTGGCTAACCTCTGACGTCCTGCTGACCTTTCTCTTTCCAAACCATAGAAACGGTCTACTTGGCTAGCCTCTGACGTCCTGCTGACCTTTCTCTTACCAAACCATAGAAACGGTCTACCTGGCTAACCTCTGACGTCCTGCTGACCTTTCTCTTTCCAATCCATAGAAACGGTCTACCTGGCTTACCATTGACGTCCTGCTGATTTTTTCTCTTACCAAACCATAGAAAAAAGTCCACCTGGCTAACCACTGACGTCCTGCTGACCTTTCTCTTACCAAACCATAGACACGGTCTACCTGGCTTACCATTGACGTCCTGCTGATTTTTCTCTTACCTAACCATAGAAAAAAGTCCACCTGGCTAACCTCTGACGTCCTGCTGACCTTTCTTTTACCAAACCATAGAAACGGTCTACTTGGCTAACCTCTGACGTCCTGCTGACCTTTCTCTTACCAAACCATAGAAACGGTCTACCTGGCTAACCACTGACGTCCTGCTGACCTTTCTCTTACCAAACAATAGAAAAAGGTCCACCTGGCTAACCATTGACGTCCTGCTGATTTTACTCTTACCAAACCATAGAAACGTTCACCTGGCTTACCATTGACGTCCTGCTGATTTTACTCTTACAAACCGGCTATCAAACCATAGACAACGGTAAACATTGCAAACCATTGATGTTCTGTTTGCTTTTCTCGTATAAACCGGTCATACAAAGGCGTATTTTCCAACCATTGCCGTCCTGTCTTCCTTCATTTATTAGAGTCTTTAAAACCGCAGAACACGGGTCCACCTGGCCAATCATTGACATGTTTACCTTTTACGTACATTAGCTTGTCTATTCAACAAAATCTTTTGCATTTGTAAGTTTTCTGTACCAGCTATCAGAATGTTTATACCATATTTATTTGAATAATCCTAAAAATCCAAACTATCTCTTCTTTAGTTCAATCTTTACGATCTCTAAAGTTCACTGATGATGTTTTGTTGAATCCATCAAATAGCAATAAAGCATACTGTTAATTATGCTCAACCAATGAAAGACAGTTAACCACTCACGTGACATGGTTTAAATGAGAAACTAAGCAAATTATTTTCACCATACTGCGACCTAATCTTTCATATTACCATGGTGATAATAAGAGTACATCCCCTAAACTTACTAGGTTTTGTAATTACTTATCATCAGATATAATTCTTAGCCGTATCTTAAATAAAGCAGACTTGTACAATGGAGTGTCTATCGGGCTAACTCGGTAAGCGAGCAGATTGCAGTATTATATTCGTGTTTTTCAACTTATCCTATTAACTCGAAGCTATATCATCATTATTTAATAATTCATTAGAAAATGTATCAGCTTCTTACTCAAAATCTCTTAATAGCTCACAGCAAGCTATCTTCTGAAAGCACCCCCATCCCCATCCCCTCATACAGCTCGGTATCATGTGTCCGAATCTTATTTATTTGTTGAATAAAATATGTTTTAAACCACTACCAAAGACAGATCAGTCTCTGAAAGGGTCTATATCTGCATTAGGTATCAATTTCTAATTAGAG